CAAAATGTGGCTTTCATCCAAAGTATCTCTCTAACCCTGCAAGTCCCGAATTATGATTTCCAATTTGAAACGATATCCTTTGCAGAAAATTTCGTGAGGCGAACATGAAAATCGGTTGAAGAGTCTTTGAGACACCAATCGAACGTAATAGATGAAAAGATTGGTTCCTTGATTTTGAACTCTGTATTGATCGCTATAACTCTTATTAGAATTCGATTCCTAAACACATTTTTAACATTACAAATTATCGTTCAGAAAATGCAACACTGACAAAAAAGATTTTTTGGAAAAGTCGTCATTATGTATTCGTAATTTAATTTATAATTAAAGATATGTTGTGTCTTTTAAATTACGAAAAGAACAAAAATGAGCTCTAAAAAGAAGTATTTAGCGCTGAGAACTTTTTGTAATTATTTTTATTAAACTGATAATTTTTTCCCCATTAATGATTGAGCCTCGGTAGTTATTCGATATACAACACGCACAGCATGAAATAAATTTTAACTAATAAGTGAAGATTTTTAAAAATAATTTTTGGCAAAATTTGCGTCATCGGATGAGGAGGTGGTGATTTATTGTCCCTCCATTAATGTTTAGAACCTCTATCTTATAAAACTTTATGACAGGAACATGCACATCAGCGACAAGGGGCACAGAATCTATTCAATGGTTTGCATAGAAACATTATCAGTTAACGCTCGCAATCCTGCTGTTCATGACAAGGCACATAATTTTCGTTCATGGCACTACAGCCAGTTGTAAGCTTCGGATTGTAGAACAATGTTGTTCAAAACCTTCGTGCTCTTAACCTTGAATTTCCAATTGGTAATTTTCATTATGGTTAGATCTTTTGCAACATAATCTAACCATATTTTTGGAAATCTTCTGTTCATTAGTTAAGAGTTTATTTTATTTTCTAACCGGCGTTTAACAGTAGACCCAATCTTTCGGTTTATGACTACTAATATTCAACTCCTTAGCCTAGTAATTTTGAACCCAATCAAGAAAATCCTGGATCAAGTATTGGGAGAAATTTGCCTTCGTGGGACTTTTTGACGGAACTAACCCCCATTTGCGTTACACGGAGAGAGGAAAACCTCCTACGGTTAACTTGACGGCAAGGGGAACTCATGGTCCGCCTACCCCTGAAGATATTTCACGTCAGCATCGTGGTCCGTGCGAACCGGGTGCGGAATTCGCATCGACCGGCCATCGCTGGGATTCGAACCCGGTTCACCTCATTGGTAAGCGAACGCTCTATCCCGTGAGCTACCACTACTCATTTGTCAAGTTTAGTCTCTATTGTCTATCAACATAAAATTTATGAACAAACTGAACTAGAGAGGTGTTTATAAGACAAAATTAACGGTTTCAACTGCTAAATATAGCAAATGTCTATTAAAAAACTCTCAGCCAATCGTATACCCTACAAATAAAATATTCTACATGCATTTCCTTATTTTTTTTTCTTCCTTCTTTTAGAAATAAACCTCGTAATATTTATAATTTTCTGTGAAATGCCTCACATTATTAACATCAACAGCTTTTTTTTTTTCCGTCGGTTAAAATTTACAATATTCGAAAAAGTAGCAAAATTTCTTAATTTTGCTTTATAAACCCTTTTGAAGAGCAGGGAATTATCATGAACTATACTTTTTTTTCTTCAGAAAACCAATAAAATGATTTTCAAGAGAGTGAGAAAATTTTTTTTCTCGTTTAATCTGAGACATGCTCAATAATAAGGTTTTTAAGATTAAATCAACGATTTTCTAAAAATCACCTCATTAAACACAGTATTTCTTTAAATCAGAGTTCGTAATAAACGAGTTTGACTCAAAGTAGTATAAAAAAATATTTTTAGGAAAAAAATATTTGATTGAATTATTCTTCTGTTGAGATAAAGTTTTTTAAAAATAAATTCATGCATAGAACAATTATCCCCTGTGCTGGTTTGCTAGACAAGTAAACCCTAAAATTTAGAATATGCTGCTTTACTTGTCAAGTTAATAGTAGTGAAATCTCGAGTTTACGAAAAAAATGTTTCTAAGTTTAAACATTCTGAGTAGCCTAGTTTCTACCCTTACTCATAATTATTAAAATCTAATAGTTATGAAACACTATTATTAAAAGTTATGCAAGATTGATATAAATTGAATGACGTAATATTATTGTTCAACAGAAAAATTCGAGGAAACCTTTTTTATTTTATCTTTATTGTTACGTTTGTATTAAAAAGGAATTGTACAAAAGGAAAGGGAAAAAAAACGATTACAGGGAGAGTAGCCAAATCTTTCAACAAAATATAAGCACCTTTTAAGTACTCAAAAAATATTTTTAAGCACTATATACATTAACAAAATGCAAAATAATTTTCAGACTTTAGATAATCATGATAAAATAACTAAGTTTCTGACAAATAACTCTTTTCTTGATTATATTAAATAAAGATAGAGAGATTTTTTGGTTCAATTTCAGAGGGTAGAAAATGAGGCATTAAATTTAGAATATCTTGATGCAGCAGAGTTGAGAATTGCTAGAATCTCATTGAAACCAGCTCAGTAGGAGCACTTGCGGACCTGCAAGTATTTCATCAAACATGTAACATGATTAGCGCTTTTATACGGTATGGACCGACAGTATGTCGAAATGGATTGTGGTTGAATGAATTGTGAAAACGTTGAATAGAACAATGTGAAAACCACGCTTTTGCTCAATACGCGGCTAAAATCGACATGGTAAAGAAAAAATCCTATTTTTGAAAGAAAAAAAAAAATTAAGCACTTTTTAAAAACACTCAATGAAAAAAGCACATTTAAGGGCTTTTAAAAAACGAAAATAAGTACCTTTAAAAAACGCTACACACCATGGATTATTAATATCTAGAAGAAAAAAAATTATCGCTTTATTACGATCACTGCTTACCTATTGGTCAAATGCATTTTTTTTCTGGTTTGACTCCTATAAATGCCACATTTCGAATCAAGGGTTGCAAAAACTGTCTCCATTGATGTTTATCGTCAGATTGGTTTTCAAATCCTGGCTATATACTTGTTTCAAGACGTCACAAAATACTTTTCCTCCTTCAGTATTCATATTTATATTAAAATTACCGTCAAGACAGTAATTATAAATTAATAATAAAAAAAAAATATAAAAATACTTTAAATTATTATTATGCAAATACATTAAGAATGACTGCTGGTGAAAATAAAAAGAAAAAAAGAATTTAAAAAAAATATTAAACAGCAGCATTAGCTTCAAAATTTTGGTTTATTTGCTCAAATTGAATAAGATGTGTGTGTAATCCATTACTTTTTTATGTGTATGTAAAAATTATAAATACAGTAGTTATTGCATTTAAAATTTTACTTTTGCAATAAAAAACCATTTTCTAACTTTTATAATAATATAAAGAACAAAATTAAACTGTCAAAATTTTTTTCTATTTTTTTGAAATATGTGTCACGGTAAAGGGGTTAAGTAGGGGGAGACTCGTGTTAATATTTCTTTTTTTTTTGTTGGTGATTTTGCCAAGAGACTTTCTCTGACATTCTAAATCTTCTCTTACAAAGCACTCATATTTCTATTCCACCACTAATTTAAATTAGCTACTTTCAGCTATTTTATAAAGTTTTATCTTTTGATTACAAGAACTCATTAAATAAATCCATTTATTGTGAGGTAAACAAATGCTTTGCTTAGAATTTTTCAATAACTTTGTTTTCATTCATAAATTAAATGTCACGCTTAATTTTTAAAAAAAATTGAACATAATTTAATAAACAATTTTGTATAAATATTGATCATTTATATCGCAATACAAAAAAAATAAATAAATAAATAACCTCAACTTACATTTTAATTAAAAAAATCCATGATTTTATTATACTCATTAATAAAAACATATTTTTAAGAATTGGATAATTTGTTAAACTTAATTTATTGTATGTGAACAGCTCCCACCACAAGCTCTCAAAATACAGTGAACATAAAATAGCCCTCCCAGCATTTCGCAAATACAGAAACTAGTGACATCCGTCCATCGAATTATATCCCCAATAAAATTCTGGTGGGGGATTATTGTGTTGCAACTACCACTACAAGTATTAAGGATCAATTCACTAGTACAGTACAGAACCCGTTATCCGGAAATCAGAAAACCGGAAAACCAAAAAACCGGAACGAAATTCGCTAAATTTTCGCGCCATTTAAAAAAAAAAATTTTTTTTCCTCATAAGATTTTAGGATTTTTTTTCTTTTTTGAAAGATGTTTACCTTACCATCATTTTGGAAATAATCATTAGTGTATTCCTTCATCATTTTTTCTTCTTTTTAAGATTATTTCCAAAAAAACATTTTTTTGTTAAACAATAAACAAACGGCTTTTTGTAGCGATTCAGAAAACCGGAAAAATCAGTTATCCGGAATAGCGATGGTCCCGATCGTTCCGGATAATCGGTTCCCTACTGTACAACATAAGACATGCTAATCTTGGGGAACCTTAAGATAAATGAAGGTTGATACTGCCAAAAGATCCTTTCCCCACAGACCTATAAAGGTTCATTGTTTCTGAAAGAAAAAGTTTTTAATAAAGCTTTTTTCCTCCCGTAATTGTCAGTCAGTTGTTTTATACTATGTCCACAGATCTGAGGCAGATAAAAAAGATAATAGCTATGTTTCTATTAAATTCCCCATGGTAAGAATATTTTAGTATAGTTAAAGATCAGAAATATAGAATTAAATTAGTGTAAAAATAAGAACAAAATAATTTTTTTATTGTTCAAAACATAACAGATCATTTTTAGAACACAAATATTCTCAACTTTGTATAATAATTATTTTGAAGAAAAAAAAAAGCAATTACAGATTTAAAAAAAAAGTTTTGAAATTAATTTTAGACCGATTCAGAAACAGTACATAATTATAGAAAATTTTTTATTTCCATAAGATAATACACAGTTTTTAAGCAATTTTTTAAAAAATTCAGTAAGTTTGCACCATACACACTAAAAAAAAAAAAAAAAACAAATATATAAAATTATTCATTTTGGTGTTACTATAGAAACTGATGCAGTTTTATCTTTTGCATCATCGAATCTCTCCATTGAGGATACATTAAGCAAATGGGATATCCCCCACTTAATTATAACAATAGAAATTATAGCTATAAAAACACCTTCCCAAATAGCAATAGTCATGAAATTCCAAGAAGGTGTTTCTAGAAAAGCTTTACTAAACACCTTGTCTTTTACAGCAAAGGGCTGAACCTGAAACAATAACAATAGGTAAAGGATAAGTTAGTTTAGACTACAGTACAAACAGAGCTGAAATAACTATGTACAATAATTTTAAAATTTCCTCAGTAAATTTAGGTTAAGATTGTAATAAGTGTGTATTTCAAAGCAATTTGTCTATCCAAATTAGTTCTTTCGTTTCAATGTTCTTTTTTTCTTTCTCAAAAGTTTTTTTTTGGTTATCTTCCTTTATTTATTTTAAACGCAATAATATTTTAATTCAAATTACTTGAAATTTTTCATGCATGTTTACTATACATATATCTGAGGAACTGACTGTAGACTAGTTGGATTAAACAATTATGTTATATTTTACAGCTAAAATAAGAAAGACTACTTTCATAATAATTGTAATTTCGAAATTTTTTTTTTCAAAATAAGTTTCAATAATTGCGTAAAATACCTAAACATTAATATTATATCTAATAAGTATCAGAGTTCATTCTAGGCAGAAAAGGGGCAGGGTGCAAAAGTTTAGGCATTATTATTCTAAAAAGGCAATAATTTCTTTCTATGGGCTTTACACGTTGTATTAAAAAACATTGTCAAATTTTTTTTTTTACTTTACTAAAAGTACCAAAGCAATCATATTAATTACTAATATTTATATCGAGTTAATGAGCTAATTAGCTTAGTAATTTATTTAAAATGCATGCATAAGTTAATAAAATAATAAATGTATGCTTTTAAGTGTCTGTAGTTATGATTTAATAATTAAAATGATTAATAATAATTATGATTTAACGATAATGAAGTAACTGCAAGCTTTCAAAGACAAGTGCACTATTTTTCCTTTCCCATATAAATCCATGTATTGACAGCAATGACACACTAAATAAAAAGAGTTGAAAATAAAGAAGGGTTGAGGAAAGAAAGGACAAAAAGGGTATGGAATCTATTACATCAGGGCACTAATTTACTTCAAGGGCAACAGGGTGGATTCTTTTGACTAAAAGAGCAGCAGGGTGCTGCGCCCTGTTTACCCTGTCTAGAATGAGCTCTGAAGTAGCCTAATCCCTAGTTGATTTTCTATGAGTATGATAAAGCAAGAATAATGAAAAAAATAATAAATCTCAATAAAGCTATGCGATTTTAAGAAAAGGACCCATATTTAATTACATATTTTTTTTTAATGTATACCATATTTTAGTTTATAATACACACATAAATTTAAATTTTTAAATCAAAAGTTTCAACATTTTGCCTCCATAGGTATTCAGGTATAGTTCGTTCACCAGGAGTTGGCACATGGCTCCACCCCCTCGGATGCAGCGTTCATATCAGCACAGGAGTAAAAAGAGAAACATCTCCGCGCATGAAATTGAGACAACCCTTAATGTGCACCAAACATGAATTCTTTTTCAGTCACCTACTTTGCTTTATCATCTGCTATTATACTTTTCCTCTCTCTGGCTAATTAAATACATTTTAAACTTAAAAACTGCTGTTTTCCCAGCAAAATGTCTCAAAAAGGATAAACTATTCACTCAAAAGAGAGAAATACCATAAAAAATGGTGCGAAATATCATCAAATGTATGAAATATTCAATGTCAAAAAAACTTGCAGATAAAGTTTGCGAAATAAATATTTTTGCTATACTATCGCCAAAGAGCAAAACCTTGTTCAGGATTGCTCACAATCTTCTCCCAAAAATAGCGAAATAGTATTGTCGCATACTATTACCACTTGATGAAGGCGGAGTCAAGTGCCAACTCCTGGTGAACGAGTTATACTTTAATAATACAAAAATAAGCAATCAAGTTGTAATACAAAAAATTACAGTTAATATCCTTACCTGTAATTTGGTAAAATATACACTAACTTGGAACTTTGACAGAATTGATTTTATACGAGCTCCTTCACTAAAATAAGACTTTCCATAGGGTGCACCGATAGTTACATTGCAAAATGTGATTGGAAGCTTATAATTGACCTGTTTTACTGCCATATACAGTCCTAGGTAGGTTTGCCAATAAAATCCTCTGTTTTTAAATAAAAATCTGAAAAATTATCAAGGTATTAAGCATACGAATGAGAAGCTTTGTGAGTGGTTCAAATATTATGCAAGCATGCTTTTGGCAATTTAAAAACTCCCCCGTCCCATTTCCTGCAAAAATAAGCAAATCGCAAACCTCCAACAGCCATTATGTGCTTACATAATATTTAAACAACCCTTAAAAAGTTAGGATACACAAAAAATATGCATATTTAGGACTTTACAATAAATAAGATAATTCAGCATTTACAAAAAGCTAGTTTATAAGGAGCAAAGATGATTATGCAGGATAAGATTAAGTTAGCATACATAAAAAAATATGTGCATTTACGACTTGGTTAAGAGATAATATAATTCAACATTTATAAAAAAGTCAGTTAATAGGATGCAAAAATAACCATTCAGGATAAGAATAATTTAGCATACATAAAAAAATATGCATATTTATGATATGACAAGAGATAATTATTTCATCATTTACAAAAACCTAGTTTATAGGATGTAAAAATAATTATACAGAAGGTTTCAAAATTATTGCTTAAAACATATTTCTAGCTTAATATTCAAAAATGGAGTTAAAAAATATGCTTACAAGCTGAAACAAGTCTTTTAGAAATTAGAAAATTTATTGTTTCGTTTTTTGGGATCTTATGAGTTTATATTAAGGAACACAGAAATAGAAACACCTGCTTAATTGATGAAGAAAACAGTCAAGGAATTAAGAGCAGCTAACAGGTTTCATAGTGCACAAAGAAATAATGAGGACATTTTTCAAAGAAATCAGGACATTATTTTAAACAGTACACATTTTTTTGGAACAAACTATTTTTAAAAGGTAAGTGACAAACTAAAAAAAGTACAATTTGAGCTAATCAAGCATGATGAAAGGAAATTTTATTGTAAAAGAATAATAAAATATACTATTTCTTACAGAACTTTGCTAGAACAGAATGCTTTAAAAGTTTCCAGCACAATTTTATTAATGGAGCAATTGGATTAATGGATAATGGCTATGGCTCTTAGATTGAAAAACAAACAAACATAATAATATATAATTCATCAAACTTAATTAGAAATTCAAAGCAGTGCATTTTTATTTATTCAGATATTTATTGACTGCTGCTCTGAAAAACATTTTTTAGGGTGTTCAACAATTCCGTCTACAAGTGAAATTTCAAAAGTCGACTGAAGCAACGGAATGACCCCTCGCCCCTGGAATCAAAGTTAAGTAGTTACAAGTCAATTATTCCTGAAGTTACCGTCTCTGCCCTATTCGAAATTTTCAGAAAATATATTTTTCATTAATTGATCCAATATCTATTCAAGATATGTTTTAGTGTATTATATCTAAGGACACATTTCAATAGAATTTATATTTTATTTTTTTGCTTAAATAACTCAAGTTATACGATTAAATGCATGATGGTGAATGGGGCTTTTCATTACTTTTCCTCATTTTACCTGCCGCTCTTAACAAAATAAAAGAATAAGTTAAATTTCTAATATTTTTAATGGGTTCAATTGTTTCTACTGTAAGTAATTAAATGCTATGTATGCTATGTAAGGTTTCAATTATGTTGCTAATTAAATCATTGTCACGTTTCATAATAGTTTAAGATCAATATATAGAAAATTTGTATAGTACTATCACATTAAAAAAGTAATCAGAATTAGTAGTAAATATTCCCTCTTACTAAACTAATTAAAAAATTGTAATAGAAGTCAAAACTTTTTTAATCAAACAATTTTAAAGCATGGTTTCAATAACCTTGAAATGGAAGAAAAAAAAATAATAATAAAAAAAACGATTATGCTGCTTAACATTTTTGAGCAGAACTAATTTTGTAGATGATCTCCCAATTCATCATTAAAATATTCCACAATTTAATTACTGTATTAATTATTGGAACTGATCACTTTTAAAAACAGATAAAATTAATAATTAAGAAACTTTAAAATAATCCACTCAACAAGAAATGTTACTGCATTTCTTGAAAATCATAACTAAGCATATCACCCTTGAATTCATTATGATAAAAACTAAATAATGTAAAATTTTTAATCTGTTTTTTGATTCCTAAAATGACCGAATTCTGAAACAGTTTGAAGCCAAGAATCTAATGGGTAAGGCTATAATGTCTGAACCATGCATCGACTTAGCAGCCTGTTCCTAATATTGAACTATCAAATTTTGCAATTTTTCCTAGCTAAAATTATTAATTCTTATAAAACGAAATTGGTTTGGAAATTCAAATCTTTCAATTCTTCACCTTGATTATTGTATAATCCTCATTTATATTCATAAGAAATGAAAAGTTTTGAACACACACAAAAAATTTAAACACAATACAAAATTTTGCATTATACATAAGTATTTTTTAAAAATTTGTTCATATTAAAAGTAAAAGTTAAACATATTACAAAAGTTAAATATATAAACATATTTGCTCTCATTATAAGTAAAAGTTAAACATTCATAGTACATAAACAGGCTTACTTATAAAATAAGGTTAAATTTAATTCTGTTGTTTTTAATTAATATTATTTCAAGGTACCTTAATTTTTTCGTGAAACCTGACTTAATGGGGTCAAATGGGTATATGTTAAAAAAAAAAAAAAAACATCTATTTTTCTCTTTTTAAGTTGAGATAATTTATTTAATATTTTTAGAGACGCTTGCTAAAATTGAGACAAGCATTTTTATTTCAGTAAAAAACAATTCTGAAAGGTAAAAAACAATTCTGAAAAAAGATGTTTAATTATTTTAAAACCTTAATTCTAATCAACTGCACAAAAAAAGAGTAAACGATTAGTGCCATATTGATGTAGGACTTATGTTTAAATCATAACAATACATTTCTAAATTTTAAACAATACAAACATTGCCCTAATATAAAAAATTGCTAAATAAGTAAAAATAAATACTTAAATTGACAGTTAAAACAAAGAGAAGCAAATTTACGTTATATTAAACTGTCCAATGTCCTTTCCAACATGATAAGATAAAACTAACCTAAAATAAAAAAAATAAAAAACAGAAATTATAGTCAAACACTCTTAAAAATAGAAACTTAGAACTAAGAAGAAAATATGGTATAGACAATTTACCTTTTCTGAACATATTGAAGTTAAATAAAGCTCATTATATTTAAAATTTTCTATACAATACAGAGAGTGGTCAGAAAAACTACTTTTTTTTTGTAGTTAGCTACAATTACTTAATTATAAATGTAGTTAACTACAATTACTATTGAGAATACAATTACTTTTTACAACGAAATGTAGTCACTACTATTAGGATGAAAACTTATCTGGAGAACTTAATTTGCACCTATGCTAAAAATAGTTTTGGTTTCGAATACTAAATTGGTTTATTTAAACATGAGGAATTAAGATATATATTCATGTTTACATGAGTCAATTTGCTATTTTAAAGAATTATTATTATTATTTTTTTTTTGGTACAAATTTGTTCTTTTAACCTTCAATTTTGTATGCCTTTCTCGACAGCGCTTACTTAATTTAAGAAATACGGAAAAAATTATTACATATTTCCAATTTTGATAAATGTTTAATGCATTTTTATTCCCGCTAAGAAATTAAGTACATCCAAAATTATGTAACAAAATATATTCCACACCATTATAGAGGGGTGATTGCGAGCCCAAGTCAAAATTCCGGAAAATTTCTTGAGTTAAAAAAAAAGTTTAAATTGAAAAAAATTCAAACAAGGTTTTTTTCCTTTTTCTCAATATTTCTTAGTTTGCTTAAAATATTTTTAAAATTTTACACGTACCTATACCACTTAATACCTATAATGACCTAGAGAAATAATTAAAATTTACAAATATGTCTTTCTTGAGTTTATGATTATAACAACTATTTACTGATAAAAAATGAATATTAATCATGAATATAAGCTTATAAAGTACTATATCTCTGGCTCTCCCTTACAAACAAATAAAATAAACTGCATTTTTAAGTTCCACCTTTGAAAATTTGATTTCAGGAAACTTCTGTCAATGATTTTTTTTAAACGTCAGGACCTTCGATCTCCGGAAACTTCCAGATCACTGTTAGAGAAAAGTCCGGAAATCCAGATTTTTTCCGGAGCACAATCAGCCCTGATTATAATAACATGCACATATTTTTTTTAGTGTACATACATTCGCATTTATAGATATGGCAATACATCAATATATGGCAATACAGATCACATTTATAGACATGACGGTTTTGAAACAACAGTTTTTTGTTAAATGGGCAAGTGTACACGAAAAAATCTTGTTTTCATATTTTTCGATTACACTAAAAAATGAGGAAGTTAAATACTATCATCATGAACTTTTAAATTAGCTGACAGATTCCACATATTAATGAAAACAGAAACAATTAATGTAGAAAAATCTAATTACATAAGTGATTTAGAATAATGTTTCCTGAAAATAATGAAACAACAGGGTTCCCACACTTTTAACAAAACAAAAATTAAGGACTTTTAATGATTTTTTTTTAAAAAAATTAAGTACTTTTTTGAAAAATTAAGAACCTTAAAAATAGTATGATTGTTTGTCACCAAATATACATATACCACCAGTGACAGGGTCAATTATTTACCTTTCTTAAAAAAAGAAATGAATGTTTAAAAAAATTCCTAAAAACTTTTTGAAAAAATTGCCAATTTGGCAAGATTATACCACCTACATGAAGATCACTTTTAAAATCAATGACTAATTCTTGAATTCTGGGTGAATATTTTAGTCTAGACAATGCAGTAGTGGGGTAACTTTTCAACCTAAACAATACAATTAAAAGAACACTTCAAATATTAAAAAAATTTATTATAAATATTTTTACATAATGTTGCAATTTTACACCATTTTAACCTGACAAAACATAACCTAACAGTTATAAAAATACTGCACTGTTAAATAAAAAGCATTATTTCATATCACGCCTATAAAGAACAGACTCACTTGGTTTTTGTTGGAGTGCATTCTGAACTATTTGTGTTAGGTGATGATAGACTGAATGACTCATTGTATAATGGCTCAACTATCAGATTTACTGCACTTGCATGAAAAAGGATGCAATCTTTAATATTTATTATATCCTTAGCCACAACATCTGCAGACTGCAATAGCCTTCTCAACGTTATCGGGCTACTTTCATAATTCTGAAAAAGAAAAATCACTACAATAAGAGATAATGTTCATATTAATGCTAATTTCAAACATTCATTTTGTTTAAAAAGCAAATAATAATGGAATAACTACTTTGTACTAATAGTTCATACATTTATATGGCATATGCATGCAGACCTGTTAATCTCGAATCTCACGGGAAAGGAGAAAAATTTGAGATAAAGAGGTTTCGAGTTATGCAGGTATTTTACGAAATTAAATTTAACTAAGAAATTTCATTTAAAGTACTTTAATTGTTTTTAGTAGAAAAATACAGGCATTTCGGTAAATAATTATACCACATACATCTATTTACATTTAAAAAAATTTAACATACATTTAATCCTTCAAATAATTTAATAATTTTTCAAAGATTTTTGAGGTCTAACCTTCTTTGTTTTGATAATTCCTTTAAGGTTAGAAATAGCAAATCCCTCATAGCCAACATTTTCCTGGGATTCAAGAATAGTTTGTAATAATTCTACAGCATTATCTGCCTCTTTTGCGCTAACTTTTGGTTCATCAATGTGATCTTCAGCTTCTTCCTTTTCTTCTGATATTCCTTTGACATTATCTATGATTTCCACATCTGTCAATGTTCTGATGTTGCCAGGCAATTGTTCACGTGTAAAAATCTTCAAAATTAATGTAAACATTAAAGCCCAGATTTTATTGCACTCCATTCTTGCAAATCTAGCACTGCATTTCCAGCATCAACAGTTTCTTCTTCTTCACTCATGCCTTCAACCTCTTGCTCATCATCTTCACAACTATTCTTAAAACCAGGGTTTTTAAAACCATTTTGGATAATTTTTAGAGACACATTTCCTCAGGTATGGGTCAATCAACACATTTATTTTTGGAAGAGAACTTTTTTTCATCGATGGCAAAGTTTATGTACCAATTGTTTTCTATAGTTCACTTTAAAACTCATAATTAACCTTTAATCAATTGGTAGCAATTTTGAGGTGAAAATGAATTTCTATTCCTAGCTTTCTTATCTATGTTGAAAAGCTAACTCCTGGTGGTTGCTCTGTTCTACTCATCAACCCCTCACTTACTGTCATTGTATTCCTTTCCAGTTAAGGGAGTTATACATGCTCAAATTCCAAGAAACACCTCCGTTCATCCCTACTTCCTGTGGGATCATGTCTGTCTGCAAGTGCTACACTGATAAAGAAAGTTATGTTGTTTGGGCATTTATGCTCCATTATTAGAAATTCGAGAAATGGGGGTTTGAAGAAAGAAAAAAATTTCGACATATACATGGAAAATACATTGATTTTAGACAGAAAATGTAGGGCATTTTAGAAAATTTTTTCGTGAGAATCACCCAGATATGGGTGATTCTCATGAAATATGACAATTCACTGTCCCTTGCTCCAAGATCTAATACTATAATATTAAAAGAACTTTTTTTTTTTAAAAAAAAATTATAAATTGCATTGCTGATAGCATTTTAAAATGACTTTGCACTAACATGGACTGTTTTGTATAGTTAAAATTTTTTATTGAACTTCAAAATGTCATTTTCCTGGCATGTCCCAAACAATGTTTCCAATCATAACTAGCATCAAAACTTCGCATAAATTTTTCAATATCTAATTTTTTTTTATCTCAACTGGTGTAAGCATTTCTAGAATATTCGCAGAGGGTATTATTTACAAAAAATAATTTTTTTGGACAATAATTTGATTGTCCCAAGAAATTCTGTCATTTTCCTGGCTACTTTTATTTAGTGGTTTATAACCAAAATAGATAGAGAATCAATATCTTATGTTAATAGATTGATTAGATACCCTCGTATATGAACATGTATTGCTGCATGAATAAAGAACCAATTTTCTGGTTCAAAATCTATTTTAAAAATTTTTTAAAGATGAGTAGGTTTTTGTGTTGTCATTTTCCTGGTTTCTTGAAATCATTAATAACAAAAACTACATAGATTTATCTGAGTTCTTTTAAGAAATCCTGTTGTTTTCTGCAGAATGTAAACTCCTTAGACCAAAATATTAAATTAAAGTAAAGTTATATGCTATAAAAGGACGAATTTGTCATTTTCCTGGCTTATGAATTCCAGAACATTGAAGTGTCACCAAAAATTTTTTTTAACTGCCAATACTGTAAGGAGGAAAAGAAAATAAAGAACCTAATACCAAGTTTATGTATGATTGTAATATGGTTGGATGTAATCAAAGTTATTTATTTATTTAATGATTGATTATTATACACAATTTCATTCTGTGCATATCAGCAACAAAAAAAACTTGATTCTTTCTACAGTAGATTAAAAGAATTAATTTAAGCAATTTATGGTCCATTCCTGGCATTCAAGATTTGGTGAATTTCTATTTTATTTTTTCTCAAGCAAATTTCAATAAACCACACTGCTGTCTGTAAGATATTAATAAATGTAATTAAATTTGAAGAAATTTTCTGGTCCGAATTGTCATGTTTAAAAAGAATCACCCATACAGAGGTTTTTGAGATAAACAGGTTCAACTGTATCAATAAAATGTATACACGCTTGATGTATAATTTAAAAAACTATAAGGAGAGCTAAATTAACTTTTTAAAATTTTTTTCTTCTTAATAATGAACTGACAAAAATGATAGGACTTTAATATTATCTTGTCCAGACTCGTAATATTAAACATAATTCAGAAGATAAATGTCCTCTAGTATTCTAAATGTCCTCTAGTATTCTAAATATCTTCTAGTATTCTGATCTCTTTCTAGTATTCTAGTTTGCAATCTATCTACAATGTGTGAATCACATAAAATTGACAAAAAATAATATACTTTAAAAATTGTTGGTAGGAAGTTGAAATTACATATATATTGAAAAAAATATAACTTTATCTTTTACATAAACAATATTATTTAAATGTTTATTGGATAACATGATTCTCATGGTTAAAACTGACGAGTTTTTAAATCCAAAGCACAATAGCAAAAATTTCTATGAAATTTATAAAATTTTCCCAAAATATACACTAGCACATCATTTAATATGCCCATATCATCATTACCTCTGATGTTTTCATTATGAAAAAAGAAAATTTGTGTATTATAGTTAAAAAAATATCACTTATTCAAAACATAAGAAATATTTTGTATATTAACATGTTTTATTCAACATACACATACAATTATGTTGTGACTCGCAGAATGTCAATCAATGAAATTTTTAAACTTTGCATAGAAAAATTTAAGAAAATATCCTCTATAATTAAAAATTTACTTATTTATTAACCTCTGTTTTTTTATATTTATAATATTAATTGTACCTTAAGCCTTTTTTAGATTCTAATTTTAATTGTTTTCAAACATATATTGCAAATTGAATTTTCATGCAATCATGGATGCAAAATATGTTTCATAACATGAAGGAGGATTTTATTTTATAACTGTTGTTGAACAGTCGCCCAAACTTTCTGGGTTTATGACTACTAATGTTTAATTCCGCAGCCTTGTAATTTTAAACTCAATCCAGAAGACAAGGGTACTCTTGGACCTAATATTGGGAGAAACTTGCCATCGTGGAGGACTCTTTTGATAGATCAAAGCCACATTTGCGTTACATGGACGAGAAAACCACGAAAACCTCCCACAGTTAGAATTGAGAGAAGTTCAGGCAGCTCAGAGAAAATTTTTGATACAATTTTTAAAAAAATGCTACAAGATTTTTATTATAAAAAAAATATGCCGCTTTGCAAATTTTTTTTATTTAATTTAAAAGTTATGTAATGAATATCAACAAAATTTTTTTTTTCTTTTAAAAATTCTAACTATACACAAATTTAAAAAAAAAAAAGAATATTGAAAAGTTATTGTAACTATATAAAAAAGCACTACAATTTTGGGGGAAATATCAAACCAAAAAACTAAGTTTTAGAAAAATGTTAGGCTCTGCAATCTTTCTTCCCTCTTGCATTTAATAAGCGAGAGTCTCCAAACAAATTGATAATCTATGCTTTAAAATATTTTTTTTTAATTTATAGACTTTTACATAATTTTATCAACTTACATATTGTTTTGTAGAATTATTTTATAGTATTTTAAGCAACTATTTCAGTAGAATTATTTTAACAAGGATATTTAATTATAAATATGTTATTCTACCTTAAGATTTTAACTAGAATTCGGCACAAATTGCACTAAAAATACTTTTTAATATTTGAGATGGAAAAGTATCCTGGAAAATAATGCCTCAGATGATTTTTTTCAGGGTGCGTAGCTGAATCTTTCAACAAAAAATAAGCACCTTTTAAATACTTTTTAAGCATTATATACATTAACGAAATGCCAAAATAATTTTTAGACTTTACATGGTCATGATAAAATAACTAGCTTCTGACAAAGAACTCTTTTTCTTGATTATATTAGCCACCATAAAGAGATAGAGAGATTTTTCGGTTTGATTTGAGAGCGTGAAAAATGAAGCCTGAATTTGAGAATATCTTTCAAAATGCAGCAGAGTTGCACATGAGAGTGCAAGAATCTCACCAAACTCAGCTCAATATATGCACATGCGGACCCGCAAGTATTTCATCAAACATGTAAAACGATTGGCTCTTTCATACGCTAGGGACTAACAGTATACAGAAATACATTGTGGAAATACACGCTTTTGCGTAATACGTGGAGAAAATCGACTTAAAGAAAAATTAAGCACCTAATAAAAAAAGCACCTATAAGGGCTTTTAGAAAACAAGAATCGAAAATAAGCACCTTTAAGTACTTTTTAGAAATGCTACGCACCATGTTTTTAAATACTGATAAACGGATATTTAAAACAAAATATTTTATACGTCTAGATCAATATTTAAGAAGTTTTAGACTTTTATTTATTCACTATTTTAGTAGACTATTATTTTATTTAGTTTTTCTTAATTAAGTCTTTAATTTTTGACTTTTATTATTATGACTTTAAATTTTCCTAAAACGAAGTACTTTTCATTTTAAGTTGGTAGGTATTTCATTGACGTCATACTAGAGCTGCACAATGGGCTATTCGTTGACAGTCTCGGAAACACCCCTAAGGATGATTAGAAGACGTGCTGTCACAATTACGATCTTCTGCAGAGGGGATGGCTCCCCTGCTTTGGTAGTACGACGATCTGCACCTGAAGTTGAGCATTTTACGGTGTACAGTTTAACGAGGACCGATACCGTGCACCCTCGGTCCCTACGCAGGCTGATCAAAGTGGTCACTCACCTGCTTACTGACAACAGCCAGTGATGCTTGACAGCGGCAGCATCCACACTTTTCCTTTTTAAAGAGGTTGAATTTAGATCATTATGATTCACAAATGTCAGAATTCAAAGATTTAGTTATAAGAGTTTAACTAGCAGTCACACTGACTTTATAACAGTTCATTTATAATCATACAGTATTAATATTTTATTAAACACTCAACAACAATAGTTTAAGTTTCAAAAGTGCAATTACATTATAAATTTTTAAAGCTATAATAAATTAAATTTTAAGCATTAAAATGCTATAAAATAAAAAGTGTTATCTTAAAATTTCATTTCTCATAGCCAAATCTTTTAGTGATGGAGCTGATAACATCAATATCAAAATATAGAGCCATGATGGCTCAGGGGATTGAGTGATCTTCCAATGAGGTGAACTGGGTTCGAATTCCAGCAATGGCTGGTCGATACGCGTTAGGTAGACGGATCATGGGTTAGAGTACCCTAGGCGTTAGGCTAAACGTGTGAGGTTTTCCTTTTTATGTAATGCAAATGCAGGTTAGTTTCATCAAAAAGTCCTCGACAAAGGCAAATTTTTCAAGATATTTGATCCCGGACTTCTCTCGTCATTAGTAATCATAAATCCAAAAATTGAGTTGGCTGTTAAACGACAGTTATAAAATAAAATATAAAATGAAACTAGCAGTTTGACAAGCTGTCAGAATCAGATATTTACACTATATTTCTGTAAAGCTCAACTTGATGATTTTACTGTCTTACAAAAGTATATAAAAATTTTACTTTAAAATAGTCACAAGTCGTAATAAAAAGAAAAAAGTCATAATAAAGAGAAACTATCTTTGATATTAAAGTGTCTTATAGCATATAAATTGATGAATAGAAAAACCATCAGAAGAATGTTTGAAAAAACTTACTTTTTTGCCTGCTAAATTACTTTAAATGGATAAGAGAAAAGCGTTTATGTTTTAAGAAAAAATATAGCAACACCAACATACAGTTTAGTACAAATATTAATTATTACTACACATTATCAGTTAATACTACAACATATTGTTAATAAGAATATCAATATTTTATACTACTACATATAATTACTACATAATATCATTTAGAAAATAAATATTTTTAAGAAATTTCAGTGGTGAAAAAAAATAATTTTACCCAAGATGGCTTGTTAGCTGTAAATGCTCCAATAACGTCAAAAGTAAAATTTTCAGATGACATCATAAGTACGTTTGTAAAAATTTCTAATATTTAACAGAAAAAAAAGAATGGATAAAAGAATAGCAAATTAGAAAAGTAAGAGAGATATAAAAGAAATAGCAGCAAAGTAGAAAAATTAAAATGAAGTTTTGAAAATTTTTTTTGAAATAACTAAATATAAATTTAAAGCTTTTAGTATTGTCAACACTGGTTATTATATCGCTTAATGAAAATAAATTAGTTAATTAAATTAGACTTTCGGAGGTACTTGAACAAATATTGCCCCACACTTTATATTCTCCAACATTTTGATTTGGCTAAAATAATTCATTAAATAAAAAAATCGCATGGTTAAGAATTTTCTAAAATTATTTTACAAATTACAAACAAAACTAAAGAAAATAGAAAAATATTGACTGGTCAAAAAGCATTCATGAATGTACCTATTAGTCCTTTCTAACATTCAACAATTGAATAAAGAGGTTCCAAATGAAACACAGAAGATTTTTGTTGAACATTTAATACTTTAACTGGGCAGTTGATATTTTTATTTATTTTTAATACTGAAACTGGAAAACTTAAAATTTCTATTTCAACCTACAATGAGGGCTTTTTTATTTATCATATTCTAGGAGCCCTGCCAGAAATAAAACCAGACTTATGGAATTAAAAAATATTATTTTAAACATTTTTATAATTTTATTCATTTAAGTGGTGTACTTAAATGCAAAATGTCTCACTGCCATATATATATATATATATGTATATATATATNATGCATATATATATATATATATATATAATTTAGATGCAAATCTAGAATTATAGTTTTTCAGTTTGATTAAGGATATCTAAAGGGGCCTCACAAAACCAGCAATGGTTCGGTTTCTTTTTAAATTCAAACAAGAACTCAATATATTGGACATTTTATATGAATACCAAGTTTCCTAAAACTTCCAATCATTTTCAATATTAATGTTCTTTTATCACTTTGGTTAATTTAAAGTCTAAAACAGAGGATTCCATAAAAAATCTGATTTACTTTTATATAAGAAATGATACAATGTAATAGTTAAAGAGTAATACATTGTAACAAGTTTATATAATAGGAAGATGACAAAATAACTAAGGCATTGAGTACAGATATATTATACTAGTATAGAAAGAAGCTGCCTAAAATATTTGGTTGTTTTAGCAAATGTCTATATAAATTATTTTTTTTTTCCATATTTTTATTGCTTTCTTCTTTTTTTAATTCTTAGAACTTCAAATGAATTTGCTCCAAACTTAGGGTCATTCAATATTTTGTTTTACCAAGATTTCTTGTTGTTGTTATAGTTGATTTACATTGCACTGGAGCTGCACAATGGGTTATTGGCGACAGTCTACGAAACACCCCAAGGATGATCTGAAGATCTTTAATTACAATTTTGAACATCTGCAGAGAGGATGGCAACCCCGCTTTGGTAACCTGAGGATCTGCGTGCAAAGTCTAGCACTTTACGATAGAACAGTTTAACGAGGACCAATACCACACAACCTTGGTCCCTAAGCTGACTGATCCAAGTGGTCAGCCACCCGCACACTAACTGCAGCCAGTAATGCTTGACTTTGGTGATGAGCTGGGAACAGTGTCTTAACGATCAGTCCACTACGAGACTTACTAAGATTTGGTTCATAAAAATAAGGAGAAAATAAATAACAGAATCAGCAAAATCAGAGATAAAAATGAGGAAAAATTAAAGATTAAATTTAACTAAACTTTAGCAATCAGATTATAATTAAAAAATAACTGTGATGTCATGCCTCGTGGCAGAAATGAGGCGACACGGTGATATTGCCGCAGAATGTTACTGAGGTTTTGCAGAAAGATTTTTCAATTGGGATGGGAAAAACTGATTTTTCTTTCTGCATAATTTTTGAAAAAAAGTTTTTTTTTTTTTTGTAGAATTTTTCTTTAAAGTTTTATTTTTTGTGTATCAGAGAGAAGGAAAGAAATTATCGTGGTTTTTCTATTCTCCTTTTGGATTGAAAAAAAAAGTCAGTAATGACTGCTTTAGCTAGAATTTCAAATTAATAATACAAAATAAAAAAAATTGAGAAATTGCAAAAGTTTAAAAGATAGATTGCTCTAGAAATGATGTTCTTCCTTTCCTTTTCTTTAAAGAGTTCTCTTTCATTTTTTTCTTCTTCCTTGAGTATCTCTTGTTCTTTCTCTTTCTCTTTTCTTCTCCTTATTCGCGTGATTTCATCGTCAATCTTTCTTTTGGAGTTGCTGCACAAATTTTACAAATGTTAATTTTTGTAATGATTTACAAAATTCGCAAGAGGAAATAAATAGTTCCTTTTTCCGAATACAAATTGCGAGAAAGCGCTTATAATATTAGAATTAAAATAATAGTACTCTTACAATTAAAATTTTTATAAGCTTTTTTCCATACTTTCTTCTGTAAACACAATGTTACCTTAAATTAGTCATTGGTATAATTAAAAGTATTGTAAAAAATATTAATGCGAGAGAAGGTTGTCGCAGAAAGCCCAAAAAAATTCTGCCACAGGGATATTATGTTTTTTTTCTTTCTTAAACTAAAAAAATGATGCTGAAGATTGTCATGATAAATTTAAGTTCCCCATAAGTATTCCTTACCTTGATTAAAGAATTGGAAATCTTTACTGAAATGCACAATCACAATACAAGATTTAGCAAGTGATGAAGCTATTTCTTCTAAAATTTGCTGGTTAATTTCATCAACTTCAATTCTTTGCTTGCCACATTTCACTTTATCAACATATAGAAGTGGGGAAGGAATGGAGGAAATAAATACATACATCCTATCGTCTAGAAAGTTCTAAAACATAAAAAAAACGGTACTTTAAAAATGTAAGAATAAAAACAGATTTGTGAAGGAAATTTTTTTTAAAGTACTTGTAGTGTGTGGACCACTACAAAGTTACAATTCCAATTTACTAGTATATAAAACATGTTAACTTGATTCTACGAGGGGGTATCCTTTCATAGATGAAGGTTGACATTGTCGATAACAACTCTCCTCACAGTACTCTTAAAAAAATTAGAAGCCTAATAATTTTTTAATAAGAAGGGAAGAAATGATAGATGAGTTATAGATTAGGGTAAACTCTTCGTTTAATTTTCAATAAAATATTATGAAAGATTTCATTTGTGCACTATTTGAAACTGAACTAAAAAATAATAAAGGAATTTCTTTTCGTGTGTTTTCCGAGTTGTATGTATTTATCCTGATTCTAATTATAATTTTATTCTAATGATAATTCCTTTAATAATTCTATTAAAATTTAATTAACCTCTGAATACAACAAAGATCCTTTTACATTTTTAGACTAAAATATTTTAAATCAATGAAAAACTGATGTCCGGTCTGGTTACTTTTCTGTATAACAAACCAGTTTTTTGTCATTAGCAGGTCCCACGCTAAACATTCGCCCCCTCACCAAATGCGATAAAATCAAACATTTGGCAAATAAAATTATGTTTTGGGGAATGATTTTTTCAACTGGAAAGAAAAATATATAGTTAAGTCGATCCTCAAAATAATGTCAAAACCAATTTTTCTAAACTAGGGGTGCACAACCTTTTTGAGTGTAGGGCCACTTGCACAGCAGGTTGGCTAACGAAGGGCCGCACATGTATTTAGACATGTTAATGACAAATGTAATAATGTTTATTTAAACATTAGCGTTCCATTTTTTTTATTAATAAACTTAGTAATATCAATAACTTAGTAGTGTTCCATTATTAGAATTCATTCAAAAATAAAAAAACTTATACTTTTTTTTTTAAAAAAAAAAACTTGCTATTTTTATCATATGAACAATAGATTTATCAAAATAAATAAACATTGAAGAAAAGAAATGTTTTTTTTTTTCATATCATGCAATACGAAAATTCATTTTAGAATTAAATTCTAATAAATAAAAAAAAAATGCAATGCCCACAGAATGAAAATAGGAAAAAGTTTAGTCATATTTAAGTATTATAAATTCAAATTAAATATTTTAATTGAAGAAAATTTATAGGTTTTAAACAAAAGCCTAAAATAAAAGCAAAACTGTGATAGTTCAAAATAAAATTCAATGCTTATTTTGTAATGTACTTTGTTATTTTATTTTATTAATTATTAGATTTTTTATATCGTAAACATTTTCCTTTTTTTTTATCGAAAAAGATCACTTAAGCAACAAAAAATTTAAATCTAAACTACAAGCAGTGAGCAGTTTAAAAATTCACGTTTTCCGCCATTTTATGAATTTCTCAAGTTGCAATAACATTGCATTTAAATTAGGGAGGGATGTAACGAGTATTTGGCCCTTCTGTGAAAAATTCAGTTGGTTGAATGATCAGTCAAATATTTGGCAGAATATTTTTTAGAAATGCATTTTTCTAAGTTTTTTTTATTTTTGAATTTTTATAGATATTACTTTTTTTTTTAAAATTATAATCAGACAAGTCAATTTTGTCATTTTTTCGATACTTTGAGAATTGAGAAGGATCCATTTTTTGCAGTTTTTATTATAACCCAGCATTTTAACAGAACGTCTCATACTATTAATTTATTATCACTCTTTCCCTGTACTGTAATATAAATAACCAGTAACATAGAAAAGTGTGATTTTCAGCATTAAAGTTTTGTTTCAGGAACTAAGAAAAATTTGTTTTTTCTGTTTTTCTTTTTTTAGGCATTTTTATTATGACTCAGCATTTTTTTAAAAATAAAGTTACAAATAAAAAAAATTTTTATAGCAATTTTTTTTCTTCTAAAATTATGGCAATGAGAAAAATTTAAATTGAGATTTTCGGCATAAGATTTTCACTTAAAAAATTAAGAACATTTTTTCTATCTTTTTATTTTCTTTAAATAAAAAAAAAACTTTTTTTAGACGTTTTCATTATAACGCAGTAATTTTTAATAGCATTTCTGTTGACTTAATTCTTTTTTCTTGGCTTTTTCTGGTAATTGAAAAATTGAGATGTTCAGCTTTAAAAAAAATTTTCAAAAATTAAGATTGATTTTTACTCTCTATAGACTCTGTTTCGCTTTTCGACATTTTCAAAAACGTTCTTGATTGGCCTTATTTTTTAGAGTTAATTTACGTTTTTCCAGGAAATATTATTCTGAGCATTGAAATTTTAGTTTCAGTGTTGCTATACTGCTAAAAGATTTTGCTATTTGGCCCCAAGTGAACGGCGTTCAATAGATTTTTTCTTCTTCTTTTTGCCGAATATTTGGTTTTTGATCAAATCACAATTCATTACCACATTCGACCAAATCATATTCGTTGCGGAAATAAAAAAGAAGGAAAAATAACTAGGATTTACGATAAAACTGTATCAAAAAGTGATTATTTAATTGCGTGATTAACAATCACGTGTCGTAATAACATCATAGTTAAATAACAGGATCGTCAAAATCACGAGGAAAAGTATAGAAATAATTAGGAAAAAATATATTTATGCTGAACTCAGCACAAATAAAGAGCGTCAAATGCATGATTTAAAATTTGCATGTCGTAACAGAATAATTGGAATTTTTTATAATACGTAGGAACGCATAGCAATAACTGCCGAGAAAATGTTTTGAAGAAAAAGAAAGAATTGCAAAAAAAAAAGATAAAAAATCACTTAGATTTAAGATGAAATTCGTCACAAATAAAGTGCCCAAAAAGTGATTATTTAAATTTGCGATCTGAAACTCGCGTCGTTATAAAAATTTGGAATTTTCACAATCACGTAGAAAAGCGGAAATAACTGTTTAAAAAAAATCATTTATATTTACGATAAATTCGGCTTCAAGAAAGCGCGTTAAATGCACATTTACTAAAGAATCTGTTAAAATTGATTGTGTCAAAACGTGATGACTTAAAAGTGTGATTAAAAATTGCCATTTTTTAAAATTTTTTTTATTGTGTTTAGAAACTCTCGCGGGCCGCACTTCAGTAGTCGAAGGGCCGCATTTGGCCCGCGGGCCGCAGGTTGTGCACCCCTATTCTAAACATATCAGTATTTTTAATTCGATTACAGTAATTTTCGGTAGATGCGGCACATAACCAATTAGAATTGGGTCCAATTAATATAAGCCTGAAACAAACTACCGTATAATATTTCTCTGTGACTTCATGGCAAAAAAATTAATCATAAAATTTTTTTAAGATTTGCATGTGGCAAAGATTTTTGAAAATTGCCATATACTTTTGATATTTGGTTAATAATCTGAAATCTGTAGCGTGGGTCTTGCATTAGTATCCAATATTTAAAAGTGTTGTTCAGTTTCATAAGGTTATGACAGTTCATGGTGAATAAGACATGTTATTTAAACAGAACTTCTAAATACTGTAAGAACTTAGTAAAGTCAAACAATAATCAAATCATATTCACAATACCAGCTATAAAGATTTAAAAAAAAAAATTAAATAAAAATTTGCATTTCATTTCAGGGTACTTAATAAAAGTAAGTAATCAACAAAAAAGGACAAGTAATTATCAAAAAAGGATAAATACCTCTAAATATTTGGAAACATTATTTTTGTGAGTATGCCTCACTGAAAAATCTTCTGAACTGAGCTGAAACAATAGATATAATTTACTATGTATAATATAAAGCAAATCGTTCCAAAAATTTAAATTTTTTAACATTGTTTGAAAATGAATATGATTTAGGATGATTAAATAATTAAATCTTTTGAATAATAATATATCACCTTCACATATGGGATTGTCCCCTTTTTTCTTAAGGTTTATTGAAAATATACTAGAAAATTTAGTTCCACAGACTTTTTCATTTAATTAATGCTTGCAAGCCAGAAGGTAGCTTTGTGACTATTCAAAAGCTGCAAGCTATGCACCTAAGTTAAGGATCATACTACTAATTTTTTTGTCTTCCAATATATTTGGCAATATATCATTAATGAACCAGTAACAGAGTCAGAATAGGTCCCACAAATTTACATTTTTAATTTAATTTTCAGCATGCTAAATGTTAGTTTTTAGTTTTATGAGCATGGTGTAATTTTTCTTGTGTATTAGACAATGTCTACCCCTTTTATGGTAAAAAAGTTTTAAGTAAATTCGTAACCATAACAATAGCAAGCAAAGAGTTTACTGAGGAGCATAGAGAGGGAAAACGAATTACAGAAATATGAAGAAGAAAGGGATATTTCTAGAAATGAGAGTAAATGTTGCTCCTGAAAGAAAAAAGAAATTCTAAATTTCAAAAATTTTTTACAAAGGGTATTGTCCTCAGATAGTCAAGTTGAAAATAGTATCTTAAATAGAGGTGAGTAGTGAGAGTGACTCAAAAGCAAATTGACATTCATAGAAACTTTTTTGGAATAAAAATTATAAATTTTTCTTTGGTTGTAGCTGTTTTATTCTAGTATTTTTTTTATTAAAAAAAAGGGAATAATTATATTTTTAAAAAATTTCTTTTGTTCAATTAAAATCTCACTAAAGGCACATTGATTTTAATTATTATTCCTATATTAGTGATTTCAGCCACATATTTTTTTTAAAACAAAATTAAATGATTAAAATTGCTTATTATAATCACTGACACCCAGCTAAAAAAACAGCAACGAACCTATAATTCCAATGAATTAGGAAACTCAGATAAAAAAAATACTAACCTTGTCAATAGTAAATATTAAAAGATGAAGGTCTTTTTGGCTAACTGAGTTCAGTATTTCATCATAAAACTCTCCATTCTGTGAAAATACTGGTACTGGCTTTAGAGGAAGGCTATAGCTGGAAGAAAAGAAATTCATACAACAAAAAATTATAAAGTAATTTAGATTTCAGAAATCAAAGCTAAAGTTAAAACTTAAAAAAAAAAGATATTTTTATAAAGATAAGACACTGTTGTTATTATTATTCTCCTCATGATTTAGTCTCACATCAGCTCTTTAATTTCTTATTAAATTTTTCTGCATGTTTTAAAATTACTAGCTCAAGTGATAAAAATATTTCCAATTAAATGAAAAAATTGCTTTTTCCACATAAAATAATTTTTAAAAAATTGTTTTTTAATGAAATCCAACATTTTTTTCGTGTTTTTGATTTTTATGATGCGGCCATAATGTACACCAATTTATTGGTTGACAGATTTTTTTAAGTTTATTAGTACCCAAGGGTGCTAACTGGAATTGTCAATGGATCACTGCCAATATTTATAGTTTAATAAAGAGATATGTATTAGCAAACCTGCTAACTTTTATGCATTTTACATAAAACATTATTTTTATATTTAAAGTGGTAGTTAATGTATGCTATCCTTACTTTTATAAACTTAATTTTTAATGATTTTGACCACCACTATTGTTAAAAAAATTAAGCATATACATATTAATATGTGATACTATCATGGTTGTCTGCTTAAGCTTTTTCAAAATAAAACATACTTTTCTGCTTAAAATTGTAATTCAATTTCCATTTTACTAACACTGAGAGCCTCGAAAGGATTAAAAGTTGGCAGGTGGGGCTTTGAGTCTGCACTACATTTGGAATATTTTTATTAGAATGTCACTGTTAAATTTTCATCAAATTTTGGTACACTTAGGATAAAGAAATACACCCACTTCATGATTATATTTTTTTATTATTATTATTTACGAGGACAATTCCATGGTTACTCTTGGTACACATATTGTGGTGTTGCATATTCAGGGTTCTGTCAAGGCCAAATTTACTACCGTGCAGCGGTACCTTCACAAATTCAACTTAAGGAAAACGGTAGTTTCACAATATACTTTTTCTTAAAATTTTATTTTTGTATCACGTAAGAAACGATAAATCCATACTTTTGTGTTGATTTTTTAATATAATTTTCACAAATTATGTCTAAATTTTCACAAAATAGGTACCACTCAAAAAAACCTAGACAGGCCCCTGATATCAATTTGCTTTTACTTATGAGCTTTTTATTTTAAATTGAATTCTTTTTTTTTGCAGAACAAAAAAAAAAAGTGTACCTTTTAATCTTTATGCCAGAAAAATTTGATACATTTTATATTCTTATAGTTTAGCAAATTAAAAATATGGTTTCTCCTGTTACCTGAAAGGACATGAAGCATTTAAAAATTTACATTAATGATTTTTCTTTAATTTAAACTATAATAAAATCTTTTTACTTTAAATAATCTCAAGAAAGAGAGGTCAACTTATTAAATATTTAGCCATAAAATAGTTTCAAATAAAAACACATTATTTATTATGAAAAAAAAATCCTGGTTACTCTTATTACAGAAAAAAAATAGTTACCCTAGTTGCATTTTTAATAAGATTTAATCATAAATTTACAATTCATTAAGTCATATTAGGAGTGCAAATAAGTTTACATTGGCATATTTATTTAATTTTTTTAAAGCAAAAAGAATTTCTAGAATTAATAACAAATAGAAAATTCATTTTTTTAATAAAATGTTTTAATATTATAAAACAAAATATCTGAATTTTCAGGCAATTTCCAGTTTGCCTGCAGGAATCGTCCTATATTTACTCAGTTATAAAATTTTTAAAAAGCAGTATGTTTTAAAGAACAATTTAATAGTTCTCGTTCATATTTTGTAATTTACCACGTAAAAAAAAAATAATAATATTTTTTAAAATTATATAAAATTTTTAGATATTAAAATTAACATTTTTCCACTATCAATAAATGAATAATTATTAAAAATTAGTTTTTGAATTGAATTATCTTTGGATAAACGAATGTAATAATTATGAGCAAGAATTAAAATTATCATTAAGGGGTGCAATTTTTTTACAACTCTCCTGATCAAACTATTTAGGATATATTTCCCTGATTGTGGCAACCTCCCCCCATACTTTGAGGATCAATACAAACCTGTCTTTAAAAAAAGGCATGTTAATTAAGAGAAAATTTTTTTCGTAACTTAAAGTTTTGCCTGCACTAATTAATTAGCTATTTGGGAATCATTAAAATTGGCTTCTAGTATGTGAAGATAGGATCATTAGATCAAAAAGTATTCACATTATGTTTTTTGTTGCACTGTATTTACAAACTTAATAAGTTATTATTTTAAATTTGTTTTTAGCACCTAAAACTATAAAAAAATTTTATCTCCAACAAGCATGCGTTGTTTTTATCGATAACTTTTGTTAAGTTGGTCAGATATAGATTTGCTGACTTCTGGTTCAGCTATTTTATTCAATTTTCTTGTAGCTGCAGTTAGTTAAGGAGACAAAAATAATTCAACCTAATAATAAGTTTTGTTACTCTTGTTACAAAAACTAAAAAGTTACTCTTGTTACAAAATTAAATTTTTTAATTAAGTGCAGTTTAATTGTATGGATCAGTTTCAAACCACTGTATAACAAGTAAGCAACACATTCATATGGATATATCTCTTTAGGATAAACTTTTATAAGTTTTTGGTTACATTTGAAAGAACAATTAAATTGACTTTTTTTTTTATTCCACTAATACTGAACTGAAAAAAGGAATTTCTAACTGAAAAAAGGAAATCTTACTATAATAAAAAATAATATTGTAACAAAATTACTATATGAATTGGTATTTAGAAATCGGCATTGAAATTCAAAAATTTTTCGGAGAAAGAATAAAAAATCATTTTCTAAACTATTTAACAAAAAAAAAACTACAGATTGAAAAATTCTTCCTGTTTTGTTTTCTTAGTACTTTTAACTAAAAAAATATACACCTAGAATAATTGAATATAATTTGAAGAGAAAAAATTATCACTATGTTTTACTTTCCAAATAATTGCCCACAATAACAGGCAATTAAAATATCATCTTAATCAAAAAGAGAAGAGAAAAGCTTTTTTTTATTTACTGCATTACAATAAAGAAAATAGCAAAGATACAATAAATAAATATGGATTGAGCATTTTCTTAATCCAGTTTCTGATAAAGATTTGCAAAGTGCTAGGCATCAGTTTGACACCAATCTCAAACATGGTAGACTTATACCCTTCCAATCAGTGATGTTTATTTCCCCCTTTTTTTTACCATGAAGTTTCAAAGACTCAGCAATTATCCTGACAATCTTCCCGAGATTCTATAAGCTGAAAAATTTAAATGATCAGAATTCTGAGGTTAATTTTCTTTATTGTAAGAAATAACTGTCAGAATTATATTAGGAACAAAACAATACAAATAGTCATTATTTTAAAAGCATAATAGCATTTATAAAAACTTTTCTTTTTACCCATTAATATTCCATACAGATACTGGTATATTTTTAACAATTACTAATGGAAAACTATCCATTAAAAAAAAAACCATGAGCATCTTCATAGTACTGATTTGTATCGACAAACAAATCAGCGACACAATGAATTAACTGCCCAGTATAAAATTAATGATATCTTTATTTAGTGAAAGCTTGCTTTTGGAAAAAAATCATAAATATTTTTTTAATGAGAAACCTTTTAAAACCCCAACTTCGAACTCGCGCGCTGAGCTTCAGTTCATATCACTGGAAAAAAATGTGTTTTACCTTAATATCACAAATGATCCAGTTGTAAACATTTCGAATGTAATTGCATGGCGTTAACTTCCTAGAATAATAGGAGAAAAAAATTCATGAATAAATTTAAATCAAAGACATTCTATAAATTTACATTTCAACTGTTTGCTCAAAGATTTTTGTATAAAAAAGTACTTTTTTTGTCAATTTAACTGTATTCCTGCCCGTTAACTGTATTCCTGCCTCAAAAAGAAGCTTGTTTTCTCGATTCTTGTGTGCATCGCAAAATACCTAGAAATTTATATATTACTAGTTTATTTCTTTTCTTATTAGCCTTTTAAATTCTTACTTTCGTGGCATGTCGTGTGATCTTCTTTGCGTGCATGTAAAATAAAGTCTGTTGGATAATAATCGTAGCTCAAATTAGAAATCCTTTGAAATTATGTTCCTTATATTTTCATGTTCGAGTCATATGTGTCTGCTGGTTAAATAAACTCATTACACTGTTAATAAATTCTTCTAAATTAGCTGTATGGTATACTACACTGGAGAGGGAGATAATTCCATAATTCTGAGAAGTTATTTAATTTAATAAGTGATAATGTTAAGTGTCTAAAAACGTATGACGAATATGGAAAATTTCTAAAAAACGTTGCTTGGTCAAAGTTTTTATGGTGTTAATAAATTAGAAATGATTTTTCCAGAAATGTATTCGCTTATATTCCATTTGTGTATCTTTAAGGATTGCCAAATTGTGCTCAATATTATTAATTTTCCAAAACATTCTTAATCAATTAAGTATCAAGTTAGTAAATAACTGTCATGAATTTCAGGTTGTACGCATTAGTTGTCAGTTAATATAGTGAATAAGTTGATTTATGGAAAATATTGGAATAAATTCTACCTGTTGCTCATGCATTTTTTTTTGACCATGTATGTTAATCTATCAATCTGATCTAGTCATTAATTTAGATGTTGCATTGTTTAAATTTTCTTTGAGAATGGATAAGGTAAAGATTTGCCTCTGCCCGCCCTATTAAAGGGCATGCGAGGAAATGGATAAATGAGTTTGACTGTATTTATATATTGCAATTCTAATATAATTATAATTAATAATGATAATTACAATTCTAATAAATACATGCAAATGGGGTGTCCAGTAATTATCGATTATGCTAATCATGAAGCCAAGATGAAAGAACATGCCAGATTTTAGTAAGTTCCCTGGCTACGGATTGGATTCATAGTTGTATCAAATGCATCAAAATCATAAACAATAATAATACGAATTGAATATAATAATAGCTTCAGGAGGTCTCCCCGGAGGATGTGTGCAAGTACCTGTCAGAAAATAAGCGGCGGGAGGATGCTGGTTCAACCAATCCGATTTCCTCTATCTGGACCAACTGCAGGAAGGCTTCGTGTCGCCTTGGCGTGACATGGAAACTGAATGCGGGAGATCTGATTCTGGAATTTGGTAGGGCGATCCTGGCACCCAATGATCGTCGCCAGGTTTTCAAGAAGTTTAGACGTGAAGAGCGGACGAAGATCTCATTGGACCTGACCAACAACTATAAGGACCAGGGAAAGGTGCTGGGTGTAGTTGCTGAGTCACCCGCTAGCTCTCACTTTGTGGATGACGGTCTATACACCAGGTTCTGTGACTGGCGATTCATTCATAGAGCAAGGCTCAATCTCGTGCCACTGAATGCAGTTAGGAGGTATGTGGAGCAGGGTAACCGTAGTGGAAACCACAGCACTCTGTGCAGGAGGTGCCACAAGTTCCCTGAAACACTGCCTCATGGCCTTAACCACTGCATGAAGTACTCGAGACTGATGCAGCTCCGCCACAACAACATCGTGGACAGGGTGAAGAATGCTGCCCTGTATAAGGACAGATTCAACATCCTGTATGAAAATCAAGTGGTTCCGAACTGTGGTGGTAAACGACCTGACCTGGTGTTAGCAAGAGGCGACAAGGCCTACATCATTGATGTAACCATCCCGTTTGAGAACCAGAAGGACTCCTTTCGTGCCGCCAGACAAAGGAAGATCGACGCTTACAAGAACGTGGAGCAGGAACTGAGGAAGACCTACAAATCAGTCGAAACAAATGCAATTATTGTGGGTTCACTTGGCTCCTGGGACACACTCAACAACCCTGTCCTTCAGCTGTTTGCCTCCAGAAGATACATTAAGAAGATGGCAAAGTTATGCGTCAGCGACACCATCCGCACTTCCAGAAACATCTACGTGGAGCATCTCACAGGGAAGCCCCAACAGTAAGTACATCTTTACTAGTCCTCCTATTACCATCTTTTCTCGCTGCCTTACTGTTATTGTTATCATATATGTTTGTATGCCCTGCCCTCCCCGTAATTGTGGGGTTGTAGTAATGTAATTTTAGTGTATGATATGTGCTGCTAGGATAAATAAAGGCTACGCCCCACGTTGATTTTTGGGTACCCCAGTAAACGTGTTAGTTTTTTATTGATATTTAAACTTCCTATCTTTCAATCCCCCTGCTACAATTGTATACACACCATTCAGCGATAATCCAAATAGATCTGGATGGTCTGGTTATCCATGATAATATAGGTTCCTGTGCAATTGTACCAGTTCCCCTTAATTTGTTATTTTTGCTATCCTATCAATAGTAGTTATTGACTCTGTCAATGTCTTCTATTCGTTAATTGATCATACCATAAGATTAGCTTATGTTTTAACGTCTGCCTAACCTATCCTAACCTTAACGTAATTTTAGCTATTTTCTTTGCTGTTATTTTTTAGTACCTCGCCTATGATTAGGAAACTCCTATGAGGCACCTCCCCCACCCAAAATTTTATTAGGGTAACAAAAATTTTAACCATTGTAAAATTAATATAAATTTGAAAAATAATGTAATACATTGCTGAATATATATTGATAGTTTTTAACATTACATTGCAATCTTAAAACTCGTACTTATCTGTTATAGGGATCAATTTTTGTGTTAACAAGAAATTAGAAAAGTAATTACCAATGTGTGATTCTTTTAACTGATAAGTACTAAATGTATTATTAGAAAATTCTATCTTTCTAATCAATTTATCTACATTTATAATGTGTGATACAGTAAAAAATATCACTTGTATTTCAAAATTAAATGTTTTCTTTACAATTTCAGGTTTCTCTATAATATAAAACTAAACACTGTAACTACTTTAGGGCAACAGGGAAAAGAGAAATAGATTCATACAGAGAAAAAACAATTTCAAAGTGTTACACAGTACAAAGTTTGATATCTGAACTGACATTGGACACTTTTTAACAATGAAATAAAATATATCTTTTTCAGAAAAAAAAGAAATTATCTTGTTAAAAAAAATATTAAGAATTTTTTTTTCTTCGTCTTTCTTGCTAGATATTAATCCCTAAAAAATAAACTATGAATATTAATGCTGCTGAATAAAAATATGGTTTGAAATGAATACCAGCATATAATCTTAGTTTCCCTTTAAATTATAAATGTTTTTACTAGCAAAATCTAATTAATTCTATTCCTTTTTTTAGATTATTATTATTTTTTTTATTGAATCAGCTTAATTTACTTTTACAAAGTGAGGCTTTTTATTAATATTATTGTATCTGATGGTATGCCTAGCTAATTCTTCACATCAAATGGGTAAAAAAAATGGAGAGTAACAAATCTTTATTCATGAAAGAGAAAGTTTAAATTATGCTCTGTTCACTATTGTTTATTTTTTTAACCTTTAAGAAAACATTGTGTAAGATTGTCATTGATTATCATTCATTTTTTTTAAATGAATAACTATATTTGATTACTTAAAGATGTATTTTTTAGAAAAAATCTATTTTCCAGATTTGCAGAAGTCCAAAGGATTCCGAATTCGGGACTTTCCACTGTAAATAGAAAATCCTGTACTTTGATGTGTAACTTAAGATCACACGTTATGAGTGTTAGAATCGTAGAACAAATTAAGCAAACTTTAAATTACGTATCATGTTTCTCTTATTGGTAATTTTGGAAAAAATTGTCTTTTTATGTGCCAGGCCACATTCTCTTCTATACAAAATAAAATATTCACGCTTTTTTATTTAATTTTTAATGATTTATGTGTGAAATAATGTTTATTTAAACATTATCATTTAAAGTGTTCTTTTTTTGACATTAAGTAGTTAAAAAAAAAAATCATATTCATAAGGTGTTTTTTGTTTTCTTGTTTATTATTAACTATACTTGTGCAATCTTTTTTGGTGTATGCATATATATATATATATATATAAATATTATATGATAAGTTTATATCTTTCAATGAAAGTTGCTTTATGAATCACAATGTATTCATATTTTAAGTTTATTTTTCATTTTGTTTTTTAGGATCATCTTCATTGGACAATACACTCTTATATTTTGTTACAGAATTGTTACTGGATAATACAAAGCGAAAATTGTACCAGTGTAAAAACTGCAATTACTTCTGTGTCAGTAATAGTGATATGGTGAGACATGTACGCACTCATACGGGTGAAAAACCGTTTGACTGCCAAGTTTGTGGAAAACTTTTTTCTTTGAAGAGTAATTTAAAAGCCCATTTAAGAATTCATAAGGGAAAAAAGGCATCTTATTAGATATTTTTGATAGAACTGACACATCGAGAAAAAAAATTAGTGAAATTCAGCTTTGTATTTTTAAATCTTCTTCGTTATAGTTGTTCTGTTCTATTGGTGTTGCTTTAGTGACATAGGCTTTTGCAATCTTAAAAATATTTCTTTTCATTTAAAGTCAGTTTTAGTTTAACTTCTCATCCCATTTATTTTGTTTTAGAGGGAGCATGAATTTTGAATAAAATCTAGATTATTCTGCTAACATGAAAATGATACTTATATATTTTGTATTTATTTAATATTATTTTTATTTATTTATTTTTTTATTGTATTGTTATCATCATAATCTGTAGCAAAATTAATTTCCTTTTATTAAAAATATTTTCGAAAAATATGCTACATTTACAATATTCTTCTTTTAGAAATGAATATCATTAAATATGTCAGAATAGTAAGAAGAGTTATTAGAATATGCGCGAATATTAATTTTGAAAATGTTTGTTTTTATTATATTATTTTTCTTTTATGGTCTTGCGTGTAGGATAATTTTTCTTTACCACATATTTTTTTTTTTTCGCTATTAATTATATTAATCAACTGAGATTTTTTGCAGTACGCTTGTCATTAAAATAAATGTATTTTTATTGTTTTAAGTTATTTGAATATTTTCTTTATCTCTTAAATTTATGACATAGTAAACTACCATATGACATAATAAACTACCTTATTTTTTAATGAATGTTAACCGATATAATGTACAAGATAAAAAAATAAAGAACAAACTTAATTTTGTTTGAAAAATTATGAGAAAAAAATGACAGGCTAACTAGTTTTTTCTTTATTTAAGTAATCCATTCATATTTAAAATGCATTCCTGTTGAAAAAAAATTATTTTTTACTTATTTATCCTATTTTCTAGGAGTGTTGGCTAATCAAGCTTTGTTTACCTCTAAGAAACTGACAGTTGAAGGTTTGTCTTACTGTATTCATAAATGTTCACTTTGTGATTACTCTTCTAATGAGTTATCTAGAGTTAAACAACATATGCGGATTCACACTGGTGAGCGACCTTTTATATGTCATTTATGCGGAAGAGCATTTTCTCAAAAAGGAAACTTGAAATCCCATATGATTACTAGACATAAAGTTTATAATACTTCCTGATTTGTATTGCCTGTTATAAAGTATATGTCCAGGGGTCTGTCTAGGTTTCTTTGAGAGGTACCTATTTTGTGAAAATTTTAACATAATTTGGGAGAATTATATTAAAAAATCTACACAAAAATATGGTGAAGTAGGAAAATATTTTCAATAATTTTGAGCTTAAAATCGTATCCAAATTTAAAAATCATTGTCCATAGTCAAATTTCAACTTGAATTTAATAAAAACATGCATTTAACAGTGCTACCACTAAAAGTTATTTTTATTATGAGAACATTTTCGACTTGGTCATACAGAAAAAAATTTCACAGAGAAAATTTTTTAAAAAAAAAATAAAGGTCTGCTAGAATAAATTTATAATAATGTTTACGATAATGTTCGAATGTTTAGAATAATATTCAAATTTCGACTTCCTGTAAAGATTACGAAATGAGAGCCTCGTCGTTTCATTTAAAAAAAAATTTTGAAAAGCTCGCTGTAATATGATGTAAGCAACCCATTAGGATTACCATACCGCACTATCTGACCAAACACGTGCTACCTAGCTTTTCTTACATACCGGGTGGGAAGTGAATTCTTCTACTACATCATTAGTAGCAATCCATGGGAGGGTTTCTTGTGCAAGTCGAAATGCGTAATTAATCCAGGATTTATCGTTTTTTTACAGAGATACAAAAACAAATTTTAAGAGGTACAAAAACAAATTTTAAGAGGCGGGGAGGAGAATCTTAGAACTTGCTTTTTTAAAAGTATTTTGTGAAACTACCATTTTTCCTAAAGTTGAATCCGTGAAGGTACCGCTAAACAGTGACAAATTTGGACCTGGACCATAGTTACCGAGAAATAAGGCCGTTGAGATCATCAAGGTCTTTTAGTGATGTCACATACTGTGGTGCAGTGTTTTCACTACAAAACGAGAACGCGAGAATCTCGCATATTTTTTTCTTTTCTCTCATTAAAAAATTATTACCACTAGAAATTCCCGCATTCTATAAATCAATTTCAAAATTCGCAAATTTCTCGCATTACGCCATTTAGAATAAAATCTGTTTCACTTTTCTTCCTGGATATTTCATTAATTTCAACATCTGACCCGTTATCTATCTTCCCTATTTACCAGTATAGTTCAGAACCTTTTCGTCTCGTTTGTCCGTCGGATGCGTCGTATTAAACGATTTAAAAAATATATATGTTGCATTATTTTATGTATACGTGTGTAGTTCCTAGATGTAAAGGGAACTACAAAAATGGGCCTAAGTTATCAGTAATGTTTCCGAAAAGTGATGAAATTAAAAAAAAGGATTAATTCCGTCAAGCGAGACAGTTATCAAATAACCGTTAATAGTCGAGTGAGTGTTATTTATCTTTCATGTTTTAATATTCGTTTTTGCAGCCTTAATAATCAGCTTTTTTATTAAATAATGAAATAAGTTGTATTTTAGAATTACATTGCTTTAGGTAATGTTAATTGTTATCGAACATTGGAATATGAAACTATCAAAACATTCATACTTTTGCAAAACTCTTTGACATGAAATAAGGCAAATTTAAATATCATTTATCGTGTTTAATTGTATATATAAACAAATATAAGATGTTATTAAGAGTTAATATTTTTATTATTTAAAAAAACTAGTGAAAAAGCTTTAGTTATACTTTTAAAAGAAAGAAAAATTAATAACAATCTTGATTGGCATTTAAAGCTTATTTATTCTCAACGATAGCTTACGATCATTTGAGTAAAATTTCATAAATATTCATACTTGAAAGCAAAAAGACACCGATACATTAAATCATATTAATAAAAAAGGAATTAAATTCATTGTTAGCCATTTTAATTTTTGTATGTTATTATTTAAATGAATACTAATGAAACTGTTGTTCATGCTTCATATGGTATGAATCTTTCGAATGCAGGTGAATTGTTTTTGTATTATCTTATGCTGATACCTTAAATAATTTTTTTTTACTATTTTATAATTTGTTATTAAATATTGTAATTTAATTTTAATGTGTCACATTAACCAAAGATTGTCAAAAGTGTTTAAAAACAATTTATTGCTTGAATAAAATTTTCAAGTAACATTCTGAAAAATATTTTGTTATTTGAATCCGAGTTCTGTTAAAGTAATAATTTTTTTTAGAATCAGCCTAATCTACTTCATGAAATAGTGTTTTTTATAAGCGTTTTAAAAATTATTAAACTTTTTAAAGCATGTTATATTTTCTTTTCGGTTTTGCACATAACCGTAGAAATTGTTCTAATAGATAAATAAACATTGCATATTCATAAGAATATTCATTGAAATGTATCTTATATAAAATATATTAATTAATGAGATGTATCTTATTGAGTGACAGGAAAAATGATTTTAATAAATGCTTTTATATTTTTTTATTCAAATTTTTTTTTTTTTAAATTACGATTTAACAAAAACTTGTAGATAATTTCAAATGCAGTTTATAAATAATATTCAATATTTTCTTGCCTTTTTCAGTGAATATTTTTTTTTAATTATTGAACAATTTCTGCTCAGAATATTATACTAATAATACTATATTATACTAATAATTTTCTTGAGGAATCTCTATTTTGGGATATTTTTTTAACAAATCTTATAAGAAAGATTGTCATCAATGAATTTACTATATGTTAGAAAAACTTAAGATTTGAAAATACTTTACTTTTTTATAGTAAATAAAGATATATTTATTATTGAAAATAATAAGTACTATTTTAAAGTTTTACAATCTTAATGATCGAAATACTTTGCTAAATTACTTATAATTTTTTTATTATTATTACTATATAATTATTACTTAGCAAAATTATTTTGTACTACTTGAATATTATATGCGTCATTTACTTGTAAATAATTGCAGTATTTATGTTTATATTTCCACTTGGAATTTGAATGTATATCATAAGATTCTGAAAGAATTCTTTACAGCGTATTTTAAAATAAAAATTTTATGAATGTGCCAAAAAAACTATTATTTCTTTATTTGTCTCTTTTCTGCCAGGGTATAACATATTTTTATTTGTCTCGTATTCGTTTTCTTATGTATCATTTCTTATTTTCAAATATATGATTAAATCTAATATTTAATTACATATTAGAAAATAATAAATTATACACTTAAGTAAGGTTTATCCTTTTGACATTAAAAATAGTTATGTTGAATCAAGATTTAAAAATTAAAAGTAAAAAATTTCTTATTAAATTTCATTTCTATTCATTCATTTCTATTGAAAAGCATCAAGCAGTCCTACATGTTCATTTTATTGAGTTATAACTTTATAAATAACTTAAAAAGCTAAATTCACCACTTGAAAAAAAATTAAGTGGTATTAATTAAATTAGCTAAAGCAAAAATATATTATGTCGCTCAAAGGTTTGAACTATTTATTATAGTTTTTTCTTAATACAAATCTAAATACCACTTTATCAAATCTACGGAGAGGCCTTGACTCTCGGTGGCTATGCCTGGACAGACCCCTGTTGTCATGTACTTGGCAGGAGCCTTTTCTAATTATGTTTGTGGAAATATGATTAACTTACATTTGTTATTTCTAAGCAGTATTGCCAGATTCCGATAACCGTTCACCCCCAAATAGAGTAAAATCCCCTAAAATTTTTTTTAAAAATCTAAAATTTTTAACTTAATGTATAAGTAATTAAAAAATTGTTCAAAAGTTAAATACTGTATAGAAAACGTTGCTTTAATACTTTTTAATATTTTACTATCATCAAAAAATAATCTTTTTTGTATTTCAGTTGTTACATTATCTTTAATTTCTACTAAAATATTTAAGATATTTTTTTCAATACTTGACTCGCACATTTTTTCATAAATATTTTTATTATCAATGATATAGTCTTTTTTAATATTTTAATTCTAATATTATGCTTAAATTTCTGATAAAATATGCAGCATATTTTCGTCAATACTTTCTGATTTGTTTATGTTTTTGCTGTTAGACATTTTTAACATAGAAGAAGTCGGTACAAAATTATGAAAAACATTAGAAAGTTGATATCGAACGTGCAAAATAGCATCAGCTGTAGTTATAGCCATTTTATTCCTCAATTTGTCTTTAATAATATTTAATATGGAGAAACTTTCTTGTGCTTTGTACGTACTTCTTTTTTTCTTTATCCTTTGGCATTATTTTTAAACCATGCACATTAAAAATTTTAAATAATTTGAATTCAAATTCGCCAAACATATAGGTTGATGGAACTAAGTAATAACTTACTACATTCAACAAAGGGGTTAGGCTCTAAAATGAAATCTTAATCTTTTTATTTTGGCTTAACATATTGATTTTTATACAGTACAGAACCTGTTATCCGGAAATTGGAAAACCAAAAAACCGGAACGAAATTCGATAAATTTTCCCGCCATTTAAAAGAAACAAACATTTTTTTTCCTCATAAGATTTTAGGACTTTTCGTTCTTTTTTGAAAGATGTTTACCTTACCATCATTTTAAAAATAATCATTAGTGTATTATTTCATCGTTTTTTCTTCTTTTTAAGATTATTTCAACTTTTTTTTTTTATAGTTGGGTTTAACAATAAAAAAACGTTTTTTTGTAGCGATTCAGAAAACCGGAAAAATCAGTTATCCGGAATGTGGATGGTCCCGATCGTTCCGGATAATCGGTTCCCTACTGTATTACCATCTCACACATTCAGTTATAAAATTTGATATTGGAACGTAACCAAAATGAAACTAGTAAAATTCACAAATAACCCTAAAAAAATTTTAAAAAAACCTAAAAACAAATTCCCCTAAAATACCCACTGAAGATTAAAAAATCCCCCTAAATTTAGGGGGAAAACCCCTAATCTGGCAACACTGTTTTTAAGTTATATACAAAATTATTGCTTTCATTTTAAATATATTCCATAATATTTGAATGAATTTACTTATGATATCTGTATCGTATGTAAGCACCAATAATTTTGCATGATTGGTGAAATATTTGCGGGTTCGCATGTTCGTCTATTCAGCGTTCTAGCTGGGTTAGGTGTATCGATTGGTTAAGTCTAGCACTCCGCATGTACATATATTGAGCTGAGTTTGGTGAGATTCTTGCAAAATGCAGCAGAGTTGCGCATGAGAGAGACATATTCTCAATTTCAGGTTTCATTTTCCACCCTCTGAAATTGAACTGAAAAAGTTTTCGATCTCTTTATAGTGGTTAATACAATAAAAAAAAGTTCTTATGTACAAAACTAGTTATTTTATCTTGATCATGTAAAGTCTTTGAAAATTATTTTGCAATCTGTTAATGTATATAGTATGTAAAAATATTTTTTGAGTGCTTAAAAAGTGCTTATTTTTTTGTTTAAAGATTTGGCTACTGAAAAAAAATAGAAAAATTTAAGTAAATTATTAGTTTTGAAGTAAATTGCTCTTATTGAGAAAGAAACAAAGCATGAAACCTCTGCTTTCTGTAGTTAGGTAGTATTTGTATGGAAACAACACAATTTATAAAAGCTTTGGTCATAATTTTTCAATATCAGCCAGCATTTTTAGCTTTAGTAATTTTCTAAGAAAAGTGCAGTGTTTTCGAAATTGTACTTCCCATCAATTAGCACAGTAGTGAATCTAAAATTTACCCACCGTTATTTAATTTTATTTGTGCAACAATAATTGATATAACAATGGGTTAAGTAATCTTACGAATAACAATTATTATAAAAAAAACTTAGTTATTGTAAATTTGTAATTGATGTCTGAATACTTCAATTTTATGAATTAGTATATCATATCATACTATTTGTAGTACGTGCAATAAATCTCTAAAGTAATGATTAATAAATTGAATATAAATTTTTAATTAGCTCATTAGTGTTTCATTCTTTTGGACCATAATAGAAAATGCAGAGTTTTTATAGTTGAAAACCATCTTGAAGAACAGTAAATAAATCGAATATGAAGTTTTTACTAGAGTTCATATTGTACTGTGATTTCATAGTTGAATACAGCCTTAAAAAACTTGTAGCCCAATTTTTTGATGTAGATAAATACAGAAACAACTTTTCTGTTGTAGCTACTATATATAATAGTATTAAACTTTGTGGCTGAGTGGTGTTTCTTCATAAAATAAAATTGTAGATTCTCTGAGTAAAAAATCAACCAGATCAATTACTAAAGAGATTTTTTTAAAAATCACTAGCATCAAACTTACAAGTGATAAAATTATGAATCAGATGAAAATCAGCAATCAAATTCAGAATGTATAGCTCAACAACTTTTTTATTTTAGTTTTTACACTGCATGCTAATATTGTATTTATGGTGTTGTTGTTTTTAACTTTAAAATTACCATTGTTTATTTAGCCTGATTAGACAGTAGTATGATTTTATTTTCCTAATTTGCAGTTAATATTACTATGGAGCAAGAAGAGTATATTTATACTTATGTTGTTTTCTGTTTCACTATGATTATAATTATTTACTTAATTCTTAACATTTCTCTTTTGTATTAGTAACAAAAATAAAAATGTTTTGCTATTGTGAGTGGATAAATATTTTGGGTCTATAATTTCTTGTGGTTTTCAATATAAGTTAAAAATTACCTGAAAAATTTATGTAAAAAAGTAAACTTATTTGAAACAATGACTCATCTTGTACATTGTTACTTGCTCATTATAAACTACTTTTTTTAATTTTTCTATTAAGAATTTGATGTTATTGCAGTTATTTCAATTAAGAAATTTGAAACAAAAGTACATTAAAAAAACTTATCATTTAGCAACTTTAAATGAATAAATGTTTTAGGTCAGTGATTTGGCTGTAGGTTTTAGCTTAAATTAAAAAATTACCTGAACAATGACTTAAGTTTTACCCTGTTTTCTTATCATAATTAATGGAATAAATGTTTGAATAAATATGCTATAAGGAAATTAAGGACTTAAATGTTTTTTCAGTATGTTAATTATAATGTTAATGTTTGAAAAAAATGTTGTATTTCTTTAATTCTAAAACTTTATACTGCTCGCCACTTGTTGAAAACATGACGGTGTAATTTGAAGAAAAAAAAGAAGAAAAAAAATTAAATGTTATTTTAATGCTTACTTTTTGTCTAGTATAAATGTGCATCCTATTCTTCTGTAGTAAATAAATCAAAAGTGCAAAATTTAATAAATGTAGACTGTATTTATACATTTTGATTTGAGAAAAAAACATAATTTACAAAATATATTTTTATAACTTTAATGTTTGATGTTTATTTAAGCTAACTTTACAAATCACTTACATTACTTTTTAAAAAATCTTATAATTTAGTTGAAAGCTATTCGAAATGTTATTAGGTATTAGTTTTTAGTAACTGGTGAAAGAAAGAATATTTTTGAGTAATATCATTTAGCATTTTTAATTGTTCCACTGCAAATTTAATATTATGGAATATCTTTATTTTAGATTTTATCATCTGCTTGTTTAACTAATTTATTTTAGCATATTTGTTTTTATTTTTAATTTCTCAAGTTTGCATCACTATGGCAACTGGTAACTATGATACTTTTTTATAAATGAGTGAATAAAAGAAAAGAAAAAAAGGAATAGTGACTTAACATATCAGTGAATGGGCAAATCATAAAAAGGATAACTCAGTAAACAAATGTAAGCCAATAGATAAATTAAGAAGTTTATAAACCTTTGGTTTGAGGTATAAATGATTTGATCACAATTTTTAAAAATTTCTATTTCTATTGTACATTAAGAATAAGTAGCAAGTCTGATTTCAAATGAACTGTATGATATAATTTTTAAAATTTTATTTCGAATGAGATGGTTAGCCTTTTCTTTTTTTAAAACAGTGTGTGTAGCATTTTTAAAATGTGCTTATTTTTGATTAGCATATTTTAAAAGCTCTTAAAGGTGGTTTTTTTATTCAGGGTTTGTAAAAAGTGCTTAATTTTCTTTCTTTTAAAAAGAAATTTTCTCTACCGTGTCAATTGTCATTCTAAATTATAAAAATTGCATAATTTTTACTATTTTCTCTGCAATATTTATCAGAAACTAGTTATTTAATCATGATTATGTAAGTTTTTGGAAATTTGTTTGAATTCTATTGATTTTATGTTTATAAATTAAGAACTTTAAACGATAGAAAAAAATAATTTTTATTACTACACAGATCCTAGTTATATATATATATATTTTTTTTGGAAACTGATTAAAAATAGTTTTTGAGTGCTTAAAAAGTTCTTAAAAGGTGCTTATTTTTTGTTAAAAAATCTGGCTATGCACCCTGCTCAAACATTTAAAAAGTACTGTGCCTCTTTTACCTAAACATGGATCTTACAACTTAAAGGTAATCTAGTAATTTTCTCCTTTTTCTAATAAGCAACATTAGACATCAGGATTTTTTTAACTAAATTAAATGTAAATTTTTTTCAAGTATGTTAGATTTTTCTGTGACTGCACGTATATCATTCAGTTCTTTCTTTGCTTGCTCATATATCATAAATATAGACCTCTTTTAAGTCCCATTTAAAAACACCTTTGTTAAAGAAAAATATTAGTTTGCATTAGTTTATATGTTTTCATTGACATAATAAATAATTATGTCATAATTCTAGTTATTAATGTTTTGACTTTAAAAAATTGCAACCTGGGCATCATTGTAGAATATGACTCTCACAAGAGCTTGTAAGGCTAAGACCTTGAGCACTGTTTGCATGTGGGCCTTAAATCACACTTTATAAATAATTTACACTTTATAAGAAATTGCCTGTTGCTAATCAAATAATAATGAAAAGTTATAAGATATAATCTGTTAAATAGACAAAAGATATCTAATTTTAACTAATATTTTTTTTTATATACAGAGAAAGATTGTTCACTAGCTCAAGCCCTAGGCCAATAATCATAATCATTACTCTCGTTAATGAATTAAATTTAGTGAAAAACCTCTTAAAAAATCGTGAATCTATCAACTGGTGTTTTCTTTTTTCCAAACATTTTCTAAAGACTAATTTAAGTTTTTTAAAATTTTATTTTAATATATTCTAGATTTCTCTGTGGCCGGTGAGACAAAATTGTTCTCTAGCTCTCACATTATGCTCGATGGTTTCCGCTCACGCTTACATAATTGCCTATTGTGCGGTTATTCTACTAGTTTTTCTTCTCATATAAAAGATCATGTTCGAACGCACACCGGAGAAAAACCTTTTGCTTGTCCTCATTGTGGAAAGTGCTTTGCTAAAAAAGTGAACCTCAAGACTCATCTAAAAGTTCATTTTTAGTAGTGAAATTTCATGTGAAAAGAAAAGTTTCATTATTTGAACTGTTCAGTGAATATTTTTCCTAGTTTAATTTTATGTTTCTTTTTCTTGTTGATTTTTTATAAATGTGGGTAACAAAAATAATATTTGGCTTTAATTGTTAAAGCTCTTTTTTTTTTCTTTCAAATTTTGTACCTTTTCTTTAATGAATAATACTAATTTGTTGTATGAGTAAGTAACCAATATCTCATGATGGGGTCAACAATTAAAGAGTTTAATCAAAATGCTATTAAGAAAATTAAGTCACGCTGGTTTTTTGTACAGTTCTGACTCTTCAGAAAGTAATATTCTTTGTGTATTTTATGTGTTTTACCCATTAGTGTTTGTCTTTTTTTAAACAGTTACATAACATATAATACAATGTGACCTATCAGAAATTTTTTTTTTTACCTAAATACCTAATATTTAGGCAAAAAAAATAGATAATATTTGAAAACAAATTATGGTAAATTACTTATAAGTATTATTTTCTTTTCTCCAGTTGTAAGAATACTTTTTTCCTTTGATTCTTGCATAGTTTTAGATAATCTTTTTCTTTTTTTTTTGGCATTTAATAAATTTTGACCTTTAAAATTGTAACTTAGGCACTAATGGGTTAAATTTGCTGAATACCTTTTTAAAAACGTTATGTATATAACTATTTCTATCTTCTCATGCATTGTTTTTAAAGCTGAAATAGTTTTTTTAAAGACTTAATTTATGTAAGTTTTAGTATTTTAGATATCTTTATCTATAATTTTTTTTCCTAAATAAATACCTAATACTTAGGTAAGAAAAAATTTAATTTAAATTGAATTTATATATTTTTTTTCTTGCTGCATAATTTTAGACATTGAAAATTTTTTTAAATCACTTTTTGATATTTAAAATGTTAGCCTAGGCATTAGTGGGTTAAATTTACTGAAAATCTTTATAAGAATAGTGTGTTATTCTTTCCATACATTGTTTTTGAAGCTGGTATAATATTTAAAAAAATTTATTTTATAAAAGTTTTATTTTAATATTTTAGATATATCTGTGACTGGTCAAGCACAATTGTTCTCTAGTTCTCATGTTTTTCTTGATGGTTTTAGTTACCGTTTATATAACTGCTTAGTGTGCAGTTATTCCACTAGATTTTCTTCTCATATTAAATATCATATCCGAACTCATACTGGTGAAAAACCCTTTGCTTGTTCTCATTGTGGAAAAAGTTTCGCTCAAAAAGCGAATCTCAAGAGTCATTTAAAAGTTCACTTATAACAGTGCAGGTTCATCTGAAAAAAGTTTTAGTTGTTTAAGTGTTGATTGAATGTTCTTTACAAATTTAATTCTATATTTGAAATGACAATAAATTAAAGTATGATAATTAGATTATTGTTGGTTGTTTTGTAAAAGTGGAAACCTGAAAAGATTTGTGACTTTATTTTGCAAACCTTTTTTTCAATCTTTAAAATATGACAAATTTTTTTATTTTTTAAATATGTTAATTTACATTTATATTGGATTAGTGATGGCATTAAAATTGAAAATTCATGTAACTTTCATGTTTTAAAACCTTGTAATTGATTTTAAAAATATTTAGGTGTTTTTACTGTAAATATGGCAAAAACTAAAATTCATTTCATGTTTTTTTTATTTTTCTAGTAATCAAACCTGATTTGCTATTTATTAATTTTTTTAATTTGATAAATTGTATTCATTTAAACTTTTTCTTAATTAAGTTTATCGACTTACTCTTTCAGGTAGCCCTTTTCAATAATTAGGGAATAATTTAGCATTTGTAACATTTGCCAAAAATTTGGAATTATTTTGAAGTTTTATTATATGCTAAATAAACAAAAATATTACTAATATTACTACATTATAAATGCATTAAAATAATAATGCATAAGAATAGTATTTATGCTCTTAACTTTTTGACTAATTTACTTATTTGGTGTTAATACTTATTAAAATTATTCAACTTTGTTTCATATTTTATAATAACAAATCAAAGTCTTAAATGCTTGAACTTCAGTATTTTGAGGATTTTAATTTCTGTTATTCTATAGGCTATTATTCTATATTATCCACTATGATTAATTGATTGATATTTACTGTGGATGAAATTCAAAATTAATTAAATTATTATTTATAACTTAATGATAATTCTTTTCTCTACTCTTTGATTACATAATATTTATCAATTAAATTGTACTTTGAATACAAATGTGAAACAATCTTATGAGTTTTAATTTTTAAAAAAAGAAAATTGAATTAAAGATATTTTGTTTAAAATGTTAGCTTCCTGTCAAATTATGTTTTGCAAACTATATTTTTTTAAATGTAGACTGATGAATCGAAAATTACATGATGTGTGTTATTTTCCTTTTCTCTTTTGTAATTGTTTGATTTCTTATTTTTAATAAACCCTTGTACATTGTACTTTTTTTAAATTGATAAAAAAAAATTGAAAGTGCTCATATTTTTAAAGAGTTCACATACATGTAATTTTCCCTGCTTTCTCATATTCCAACCATATGCAACCTCATACACATGCAACCTTGAAGACAAATGTATGAGCTTGAACGCAAATATGAACACTTACATGCAATTTTAAATTTTTTATGTTCATTTAAAAAAAAAAAAAAAACAGTTTCAGAGAAAAAAAAATTATTAAAAAATAGATATAAATTTACACTATTAATACTAATTTTCCAAATGAGTATTAAAAAAAAGTAAGGCGAATGATTATTTAACACAAAAAATACATAGTTTGAGAGCATAAATGAAAATTTATTGTTTGACGAATTGTATTACAGTATTTTATTTTTAAAAAAAGACAGAATAAGGAAACAAAATTATTATAAATTTATCTTATTTACAAAATACACAAAGATGTATAAATCGGTATTTTAAATTTTTGTTTGACCAAAAATGTGGGAAGATAATTATCTGAAAATATATTCTTCGACAAATTGTATCTCAGTGTAATTCAAAAGAAAAAGGTGAACCGCAATTTTTAAAGAAATCTATTTTATTCCTCCCCCTCACCAAGGATTCTCTTCCAATTATTACTGCCCAATGAAGTTGTATCTTTAAGCAGTCAAAAAAACTGGGTTATTGATTTAGAACAGGGTTTAAACCTTACATGTCCCTTTAATAACTGTCATTTAACCTTCTTGACCTGGGAAATATGGTAGGCAGTCCCGATTCGGGGTTAATGTTAATTTCGTATTTTGTTTATTTCACCTCTTAATTTATGTGAGGAAAAAACAATAAACTTTGGAACTAGTGGAATGAATTAAAACTTTTGTTCTTAATTATAAAACTTGTTTATCAAAAAGGATCCTACGTGAGGAATTAATATTTTATAACTATTTATTTAATTTAAAAATTTTTATATCCACAAATTTTTGCATCAATTTAATTGACATAGTTTGGATTGACAAAATTTATAAAGAATTGGTAAAATAATTCCTGAGCAATAAAAATTTAAATACATGACTTCTTTCTGAGGATTAAATATAAAAAAAGCTGAAATTAACATTAAGAGGTCCAAATTTCCAAACGCCCTCTTACTTAAACTATTGGAATTATATTTTCCAGATTGTGGCTACTCCTTTATTTTGAAGGCCACAAAAGCCAATCCGTCTAACAAAGGAATAGCATTTTTATTACGAGGAAAACTTAAAATATTGCCTGAAGTATATAAGTACGTATCTGCCATCTCTGGATTTTGCCGCTTTCTCCTGATTTATTGAAAATTCTCCTGGTTTTTGTATATTCTTGAAAATTCCCTACAAATGAGTAAGTTTCCTAAAACAAATCCCTATTGAAATAGAATTTTTGCATAGATTATTGCTTACTGGCTTAAATATTTAAATAAGTATTGCTAAGACATAATGAAATGAACCTCATTTATAGAAATCGGTTCAAAACTTTTTTTTGTTCTGAAGTGTTCAGTTTATTTTTTATTCAGAACTACCTTTTTAAATTAATTTTAAAAAAATCTTTTAACTATCTTTGATGAATTGAATGCCTATTAATATTTGAAATTATGAATAAACATAATACATAAAATTTCAAGTATGTTTAATGTCAATCATAACTGGAAATGTGGCAGTTTTTCTATTTTGATGACTGTAAAAATTCCTAAAATTCCATATGAGTAAAATATTAAGTACATTATGCAACAATTATCATGAAATTTATATTATTTCGTAAAATATACCGGATTTTTTCCTATCTATGTTGGCAGTTATGTAAGTATAAAATTTAAGATTAGGCCCTTGAATCATAAAAATCGAGTCTTGGTACTTGAAACACAATCGTTAGATCACAAGTTATTTTGGATTTTAGTTTTGTGCACTGTACAAGCTGTTACACTTCCATTGCCTTGCCACAAACAGGGCAAAAGAAAAATAGTTATGTTAGGGCTGTATAACAAGCGTCTCTCCGATGGCAAATGTGCGAGCTCCCAACTCAAAACCAAAATTTAATTAGCTATAACTATTTAATTAGCTTATAAAGTTTCTTAATTGTTATTGAAGCTAATTTCATTGTACTTTGAACAAAAACCCAAATTATATCATTAAAATTCTGAAAACACATAGGTACTAATTCAAAATGACAACAGATTTTGAGCATTTTCTTATCTCTTAAAATTTATTTTGAAAAAATCAAACATAATAATATTGTTTAAATTTTTATAACTGTTTTTCAAACTTATTTCATCAAAAGTAAAAAATACAGTGCACTCCCGATTATCCGGGTTAATCACCGGGACAGGTCGCACGGACAATCGAAAAACACAGAAAATCCGAAAACTCCTTTTATTAAAGAAAAATTCAATATCAGTACAAAAAATATAAAAATTACTGATATTTGCATGCATAACATCAAACTAGGAATTTTCCTTATTGAAAAATGTATAATGCGTCTTCGCCATATATCGATACACATATTTTACGAACAGCAGTAATGTCACCGTAATCAAATCCCCCCATATAATCTAATAAAGTTTCCACAGAGCAGCAGAATGAGAAATTGTATTTCATTCATTTACTACATCTTCTGCATCAGTTACTATCATCACTATTTGATTTAACAACATAACGATCAGTCAAATACTGTAAGCCAGGCTCTCATGCATCACTTGGAAACCAATCTTCTAAATTTTCTTCATCAAGAATTTCGAAGCCTTAGATTTCGAGAAGCTCGAGCGAGATTGTTCGAGAATACTGTTATCATATTTTTCTTGAACATCTGATGAGGATTGTTCATCAAGCGGTATGATCTTTCTCCAAGATCGGGATAACGTAGACGATTTTACCTTTGACCATTCTACTGATGTTCCATATACTGCAATCCAATAACGATTATTGCTTTCCAAAAATTTGGTAGTGTTATAACTTCATGAATAAATTTTTTTAATCTTGAAAATGTTTCTCTTTATATTTTTTGTGTGACTCCGGAATGAGCACGGATAATCCGCAAACCGGATAATCAAGAGTGTACTGTATATGTAATTGAAATTTGAAGGAAAAAAAGGGCAGAGGTCAAATCTAGAGAGCAAAATTTTTTTTAGTGTTTTGAATTTTATTTATTTAATTCATTTTATTTTAATCAAGCGAAATAAATTATTTTTGAGCTGTTATTCAATCTAATGTCAATAAACTCTAAAAAAAAGTCTCCAAATCATAATGGAATTCCAAAATATTTGGGTATTCATTCAAAGTGCCTGTTCATAGTGCGTAGCGTTTTTAAAAAGTGCTTGAAGGTCTTTTTATGGTGGCTAATATAATCAAGAAAAGAATTCTTAGTCAGAAATTTGTTATTTTATTAGGATCATGTAAAGTCTTTGAAAATTATTTTGCATTTTGTTACTTTATATAGTGCTTAAAAAAAGGTTCTTATTTTGTGTTGAAAGATTAGAGTACACACCCTGCAGTCAATATAAATCTCGAGGCATTTAAAATTATTATTGAAGTAAAATATCTAGTTAATATTGTTTTTCCTAATATAAACTGATACTTTTATTATTTAATTGCTTTTAATAAGAGTGATACTGAGCTATTTTATATACTGCATAATTTTAATGTCTGATTTTTGTTTTAATATTTTAGTTTTCTTCCTCCCTGGTCAACAGAAACTGTTCTCTAGTGATAAAGTTTTTATTGGTGGCCATCACATCATCAGTGCCTGCTTTGTAATTTTTCTTCTGCTGTTATGACGCAGGTTAAAGATCATCTGCGAACCCATACTAA